GTTGAAGGCTTATCGTAGACAATCTACAACGATTTGGCCCATGGTCGATAAATAGGTCTGAACACATCTTTGACATGCGCAGCGTGATGATCTTTTTAGCTAGGATGTGATAACGTTGCGCACAAACAGTTTCAAATTTGTCCTCGTCAATTTCGGAACGCCCCACCAGAAGACATTCCTGCTTGGTCAGGGCTTCGTTTCTCAATGTGAACCTTTACTTGGGTTGTCTTGTGGCCATCCTTAGTCCCAGGGAGCAGGGTACTGGTAACCTGGAAGTAGGAGAGATTTCAGCGATTAAAATAAAATAGCTTTTACTAATGTACCGCTTGAATCATGCCACCATTCTTTCTCATTTATCTACTACATATATAACAATTTTTAGTTACAAACTGTATAGTATAACGTACCTTGCGCACAGCCAGAATCGCTTGACACTGGTAACATGTTGGGGGTGTTCAACATCGAAGGCTCCATGGCTCAACTGCAGCACATGAGGCTCTCGCCACATTGCTCGTACCGCACATCCGTTCGCAGTGAAACGCAGACAAACTCCCCTTCTTTTTTTTCTCTGCTTTGAAGGCAATGCAGAGTTTGCCGTCTACATCACGCGTCTGCTCCAGACGCACTGTTGCGGTTGCCGAAGGTAGCTTGCGTTGCGACGGATGATACTCTATTTCAAGAAATATTTCTCGCATTGAAAATATAACACCCTTTTGTAACTTCCCACATATTTAAATAAAATGCAGAGCTATCAAATTACTTGTCACGAATATTTTTCTTCTGACCACCAAGGTGATGTTTTTGATGTTGATTATGAAGCTGTTTGAAGGAAATGACAACTTTGCAATTTTTTTTTCATACAAACTTTGAAAGCATAATTATCTAAAATATTTTTCTCTCGTATGTTACATACACCATCACCTTTTTGTTTGTACATTTCTGGAAAAAAATATCAAGATGAGCAATTTTGATCACTTTTGCTTGTGCAAAAAAGGCAATATATATTGACATAATTTAAGAATTCTCCACTAATTCAGTTACATCACTTCATTATTTGACCGTTGACACCACTTTATTGACTGCATCACATAGCAGTGCATTGCGAAAAACTCTTGTTTGATGCCCTCCTGTCCAATGAGTGTGAATCTCTGAACTGTCACAAATGGACGGCAAAATTTTCACCAACAAAAACAAGTGAGCAGAATGAGTTTCGAGCTTCTGCAACAACGTGAAAAATTTTTCAGGCAGATTTATGATGGTCAAAAAAAACTTTGGATGATTTGGCATGAAATGACCCCATCTTCATTTTGAGTAAGGGTGTAACCACGCCAGCGGCAAAAATGTTCGCGAAATGCAGCGTGCCACAGGTGGCAAAAGCAATGAAAATTGGCAGCTTTATGGCATGCCAGGTGACATGGGTTAAAACCGGATTCTGTGGTAAGTGCCAAGAGTTGTGAGGTTAATGACTAATCGGGAGCGACGAGGGTGACATAACAAAGCCGTTGCGGCTAGGCCACCACCATTCCACACTCCACGACACACTTGAACCACGGCAGACCAAACAAAAAGCAACGCGCACTCTCAGTGTTTTTCGTAAGCTTTCGAATGCACATGAAATCTGGTCGCACTGCAACACGGCAACATCATTTTCAATGTGGGCTCCATGTTAAAGGAACCCTAAAATGGTTTTGCCGATTTTGTATTGTAAAGGCCTTGAACTGATAAAGCTTCAGAGGGCATTGGGCTCTCAATGTCCAATCAACGTCAGAATCCATGTATCTGTGGCTAATTTCATTCCCAAAGACACAACAGCATTTCCCGAGTTTACACTTGTTGGCGATTGTTCTCAAATACAGTTGCGTGTCCACGTGCCTTTGAATATTGTGTGGCAGCACTTGGCAGATAAGATCTCAACCACTCCCCGTGCTTCGTCTCTATTGCCAGATAGTTGGCGTCAGGTGCACTGCCTTGCACACTCGACGGAGCTCAATCCATCGAACGTGGTTCAGTCACCAGCAACGGCTGGCTGTTCGATGACTTGGGGAGGCAAAGCAGTGTCGTAAAGACGGGTACAACTATAACTGCCAGTAGCTGCCTAGGTATATATTGAGCCACTTAATTTACGGTGCAAATGATTTCATTTGTGGCGCAAATGATTTGAAACGCTGACAAAATTTCAAGAACCGTTTCAGGGTCCCTTTAAGGCGTAGTCGTACAGCATGACCTGCACACTCTTGCTGCTGGTGTGGCCGCACATTATGACTGAAACAAGTTAGTGCTCTGATAATCACAACTAAGGTACAAAAGAATCTCCTAGCTGCCACTTTAAAAATGATCAAAATGTCCACTTTCTCTCAGCCCATGCATGCATACTTAAGGCAATAGTAAATGTGGCTGAATGGCATAGACAGTTGTCAAAACTGTAGCACACTTTTTCATCTCGGAATTCAGTATGAACTAATTTCTCTCAGTTGTTTCAGCAGCTAAGTGTTCAAGCCTCCTTCTCTAGCTATTGAACCTCAATACCTACAGGAAATACTTAAACCATTTGCTTCGTGAATAACCCTGTGGTGCTTCCCATCTGTACATTACTGTTAAGGGGAGATGCGATTTGAAAACGAAGTTTCGTTATTATGTAGGCTAGGGCAACGAAATGTTTTGCTATATGTATTGGCTTTTATGCCGGTTTCAAATATGTAATTAGTTTCATAATGAGTTGCACAGTTTTCATTTTGTGCTGTGACAATATGTAAAATATAGCTCGTTTTGGGGCAAACTTTTTACGCCTTTGAACTTTTATGGTTCTGAGACATCAATGGCTCATATTGCTCCACATTAACTGTATAATTCAAATAAATGTCAAGAAAGTGTGTAAAGACATTTTATTGGAGAAAAAAATATTAATGTGAGAATTTTTAAAACATTCAGCCCCTACTAATTGCTTGCTTTAGGTTTGCTATAATTATACATGCTATATCATGTTTTAAAGTAGATACTTGCACCCTTCAAATGTTAAGATATATCTGGGCAAGACTTCAGTCTGATCTGGCTATCAAAATCACCAAAAACATGAAGTCTAAACTCAAAAAGTTGCTCAAAAATGAATATTGAGGAAAATGCATTTTAAACATACAAATCAGAGGTCATCTATACTGTCAATATACATTTTGTTTTTGTTTTTATGATTTATTCCATCATAAGAGCTTAGTGATCATTGCTATTTTAAGCTTGTGGCTTTAGTGCACTCTTCATGCAAAATGTAGTGGCAAGCAGCCAGGTGACAACTTCCAGGGGACTTTCTTTACACAATGAGCTCTTTTTAGTTTTTATTAGCTACCTTGTACTCTAAAAGCGACTTTAACCTACTTCACGTTTATTGTTCTCAGTTTTCTTTTTTGTCATGACAGTAGAGAAACAAAACGTGTGAAAACAAATAAAAACAAAAAACATGCAATTTCAAAAATAAACTTCATTTTTTTTTTTTTTCGACTCTCATCTCCCCTGAAAAGAACTCTGAAGGGGCCTCCACTGGACCCTGCCCTGAATGAGTGCATATCACAAGTGCACTCTGTGTTTCATACGTATGCTGCAAACATAGGAACACCAGCAGCTTTATTGCCATCACAAAGCTTTACTTATAGAGCACTGAGCTGGCAACAGAAGTAACTTTCAGCAAACATAGCAATAGCCCCTGCAGCCCAATGTCCACGTAGTGCCCCAGTATTGCCTCATTTTCACGTTGAAACTGCGGGTGAACATACCTTTACTGAAATATGTATACACATTGCTCTGTGGACATTAGGTCATGTAAAGGGAAGCAATTTGACGCAACAATGATTTCTTCACATTAAGGTGAGTTACAGCTAGGTCTAACTGCACTTTTAACACTAAAAGCAATACAACTTTTTTTTAAATGAACAAGATTAGCCAGCAAGAAAGGGTTAACAACTTCCCAAAATCACAGCATGATGCACTTGCACAAGTTGATTTTTAACATGATAAAAAACAAAGACGCAGTAAAAGAGCTTGAACAAAGTGCTTGATTGGGCTGGTATGTGCTGCATGGTAGACGAAGAAAGTGCTTAACAGTGCAATCTACAGGAGGGGATAGAAGAGACGAGAACAGCGCTCTGTTCTCGTCTCTTCTATCCCCTCCTGTCGATGTTAAGCACTTTCTTCGTAAAAGAGCTAATCTTGCATAAATAGAGTTCAATGTCGCACATGCACTGTACAACTAGTTTTTTCAGAAGGAAGAGTGAAAAACTGCTGCGTTGAGCACCTCATGTGTTTACATGGAAGAGCTAGGTGTCAACACTGAGTCGCGCATCTCGTAGACCCTGGAGTCTGTGTCCAAAACCTGAGCAAAAGACTCAATCTATGGCCCCTTCACTGAGGCTAAATATTCATTAAAATACATCACATTGGCGTTTCATTTATCTGTAGCTGCCTCGATGCCAGGCCTCGATGCCAGGCCTCAATGCCTGAACGAGCATCTTAAAGCATAACATATTGTAATATTGTGCGTATCGGCTTATTGATGAGCTCGAAACATAAAGCGCACTGTAAACCGGCAGTGCATTAGTATGACACATTTGCATTGCATCACAGCCCAGGATGTTATGCCTGAGTTCAACACTCCACTGGTGCTTTTCTTAGGGCTGCACCATTTTGCCTCCTCAACTGTTTGTATCTGCATATTCATTCTTCTACCTTGTGTTATCTGCAATTGTTAGATAGCACTTCGAAAATATTGCATCTTTCACATCTGCTTGAAAAAGCTGAAGGGAAAAGGAACACATCAAGTAACCAGAGAAAAATGACAAGTCAACGTCTATCAGTCACATCTTTCATGCACTTCACTCTCTCGCTGTCCCTAAAACTTTTTTTTCCTCTCGTGAAAACTGTTTTAAAGATATTTGGAGGCCTGAGAGCAGGCGCGTAGCCAGAAATTTTTTTCGTGGGTGGGTGGGGGGGGGAGGGCACGACCTTGATTTTGGGAGGGGCACGACCTTGATTTTGGGAGGGGCACGACCTTGATTTTGGGAGGGGCACTTCCAGAAAATGGCCATTTTTCTCTCTCTATGCTATGGGAAAAAAATTTCGGGGAGGGGGGCACAAGCCCAGTGTGCCACCCCCTGGCTACACCCTGCCTGAGAGCTCTGCACAAGAAGTTTATTGGCATGCGTGCGGCAGTGTCTTCGCAATGGTTGCTTCCATTCTGACTCGACGCAACAAGCGGGGCTCCACAGCGAGCCCAATAAAGGCTCGACGCTGTATTTCATTACCTTTATCTACAATGCACATGAAACGATTTAAAAAGAAAAGACATCACATCTGCTCTCCGAAATGCGGAGCATTGCTAGCATTCCAGGAAACGGAAAACTGAATGCATGCAGTGGACTGCTTTTTTTGGCTGACGGCCGGGACAAGGAGGAACATGTCGGTAACGTTCAGCAACAATACGGCTTGTGCAAGCGAAACAACGAAACTAGCAACGTTTGAGCCACATCGGCAAGAGGAGGGGCGTGTGAAACACTCATATGACGTCCCTCTTGGATGTGATGAAGTGCAGGGAGCTCGAGACGACCTCAGAAGTGCCGTCGGTGTCCTCCTGCTTGCTGGCGAGGTCTTTCTGTGAACGTTGAAACAGGCAAACCACGTGTAATGTGAATTCGATTTAACCTCATTCACTGTGTTTCTCAATGCAGTACGAATTAGACTGGGCTACAGAATGATTGAAGCACTTTCTTATGTGCGTCTGGCAAGGACAAATCAAGATGCACAGAACTTGTGCAAGACAATAGTACAAGCTATGAGACTTACCTACACCATTCCGACTGTTAGTGCAGTTAGACCTGCTTATAAGAGACGTGAACTGAAGATCACTTCTTGACCTTATGAGGTTTGTCTTATAAGCAGGGTACCTTGTTCTGATTTTCCGACCGACCACTATTTTTATGCAGGCACACTGCTGACTTTTATATCCGTTTGTCTCTTACATCGATGTCTCTTATAAAGGGCTTCTGCTCCCTCTGACGACCTCCCAGAACAAGCCACTAACTGGAAAACATATTCTTCCCTTTGCTTATTATTTTTTTTTTCTATGATTTCCACTACAATACTCAGCTTTGCCAGTAAGCTGATAATTAGGCTGGAACACACATTTCTCGGACAGGAAAGAGATTTACCAGGAAATGAGGATCCCATGCATTCAGAGGTGGTCAAAGAAGAACTGTCAAAGGCTCCAGCGAATGTTTTGACAATGGGACTTGTTTTTGTCAAGGCAACAGTGGTGTCACTCTCATTGCCCTCAGAAACAAATGAAACCCAAACAAAAACAACGCTTAAAGGGGGGACACGGGTCTTAAATGTCTCTGTATAGTGTCCCCAATTAAGCCATGGACATCCTATTGTTGTCCGGACTACATAAAGAGTTCAATATATTCTATTTCTTTTTAAACCATACGAAGCTATGGAAGGCATAGTAGTATTTGTTTACTTCAAATGAAATTTATGAATAACAAAGAAAGGATAAATAAACATGTGGAAACAAAAGACAAAATGCTGCTACTTATAGCTGAGCTTGAATCTGCCCTATTTCAGGAGCGATGCCCTACTAGTATTTCCCTACAATGGCAGGCATCATTGCATGCACTTTTTCTGGTACAGACGGCATCACGTTCTTGGATCCTGCATATGCTTCCAGTGCCATTAATTCACAAAAGCACACTGCCAGTGGTGGAAGCTACATTTTGCTTTTTGGAGCAGACTTTGGAGCAGGAAAAATGGTGCTTGGGAGCAGGCTTAAGAGTCTTCGGAGCAGAAAAAAAAATTCTATAGTTTAGGGTTGCTATTGGCCTTTTCAGAGCGCATGCATGTTCCCAACGACTCCTGCAATCCCCCTGAAATTTAGCTTGAGCAGGTGACATAATTGAGCTAACAGTTAAGTATAGCACAATCAATATTTTAAAAGGCTCCTTATCTGTTGCAGCATACCTGTGTTAAATGCCCTTGAGCTGTGTGAACTATGGAAATCGCAAAAAGGTAAAAAAAAAGAGAGACTGGATAGAACAATTCAATCGCTTGAGCTCAGACCCTGTGCTTGTTTTTTACAATTTTATTGAAAGCATTAATTCTCTATAAATAAAAATAAAACTCATAATAAAAATATGAATTGGCCACCATGGCCTGGTATGTGTCCCCCCTTGCAATTTTTCAGGATTTATGCCACTGAGTTGCATACTATGATGATAGTGTCTATACAGCTTGGTTTTGGTTTCACTTAGGCTTACGGGATGGTCCCATGGTCTAACTTCATTCTTTTTAGTTTGCAAACACTGTTTTGGAGCAGGTTTGGAGCAGTTACTAGCAAATATTGCACTTTGTACAGCATGGAGCAGCATTTCTCTTTTGGAGCAGTTTGGAACAATTGGAGCAGCTCTTCCATCACTGCAGTGCATATATTGACAAAAGCACGACATTTGGAGATTGGCTTCCATTGTCCCGACAAAGCCATCACTGGGGAGTTGCTATGTGGACAACATCTATTTGCGTATACATTACTAACACAAGAAGTATATTATCCAGGCCAACTGTACCAGTGCTCAAAATGCACACATAGAAGGGGCTAAATCTGTAAAAGGGGCCCTGTGATACCTTTGCAAGTGACCATCAAATGGCTTCATTGAAAGAGTTTACTGACTCTCAAATTGACCGCCACAAGAATGTTTAGAGCCCAGCAAGTACGAGCTGAACTGGAGATAGGCCGCACGCTTGTTTTGCCTTCTATCTTCCGTTGTCCCGACAAATGCGCTGAAAGCTAAGCCGGAGGGATGGCATAGGGGAAAGGAGATATGTCACACGCGAGTCATAACCTTTAGCACTTTTGCTTTTTTTTTATTCTTCAAGCGCGTTGCTTACATTTAATGGGATCATGAGCATGTGCGCGCGCGGACAAGTGGTGGGTTTTCGCAGTGACCACAATAACTATGCAGACGATGATGCTCAAACCAGCCAATCATCGTGGCTTCAAATATATGATGCAATCATTCGGGTACATGGCATCATTGTCAAAATAAGGGGCAACGATTTCTAGCCGACTTTGAAAACAATTGTAAATTCGAGACCACACGCTGTGCGAGAATGTTTGGCTCGACTACTAATTGGTAGCGTTCGCTGTCCCTACTCATAAGGTGTTGCAGCACCCTTTTAAGCTTACATATCTTCACTTGTTCTTTTGAATTAAACAGAGATTTCAGGGTTTTAAATGCAATACCTGGATTTGATAGCACCATAGGTGAATAATCCAGATTAATTTCTATCACATGGTGTTCTCTACCGTGCTCCTACATTTGAGTATAAAAGACTTTTTCGCATTCACCCCCCCCCCCCCCATTTAAATGTGGCTGTCACAGCGAAAAGTCGCACCCACGTCGCTGGGCATAAAAGCGAAACATCCGAGTCCCCAAGCTCTTCCAGAGGTCTTATCTGATGCAACTATAGATCTTCCTTCATCACTACAAAGGCCTCGTACAAAGGCTTTGGCAAGCTCACCTGGATGCCGCCAAAGAGGATCAGCTCCCCACGTCCCAGCACCAGAGAGTACAGAATCACTTCTTCGACCGCGGAAGAAGAGCTGGTTGCAGCTGCCTGCGGCAGCAGTGGCAACCATGATGCCTTGCCTGCCTGGGCCACCTGACTGACATCTAGTACGTAGAGCCGCATGGGGCACACGGGCAAGGACGGCCGCCTCCGCACGGGTGCAGACGATGCCCTGTGCAAATGCAACCTAGTCCTGTTGAATTTGCAAAGAGGTGTACCCTGCTTTAGAAGCATATATTTCTTTATTTTTAACAGGTTATTGTAAAACATTAACAGCTTATGAATGCACATGTGCTGATATTCAATATGCATTTTTTTTTTTGTGATAAAGCATGCAGTTTTAAAATACCAATAATTTCATGAGCCTCAATAAAAGAGAGACTTTCCAGAACTATAAGAGTTACAAAGCAAGTCAGCATATTACGGTAATCAGGATTGAAAACTGGATGCAGTAAAACAAGAACGGATACCCAAAACCAACTTGAACAAAAGTTACAGTATGTTGAGTTCTGATGAGTTAAATTCCAGCTTGACATCAGACTTACTTCCATAATGTACAACATACAACTTTTGTTCAAATGCACTCATGGCGTCCATCCTTGTTTCACTGCATACGGTTATCATTCCAAGTTATTGTGACAAGTTGATTTGCTTTTAAACTCTCACAGCTAAGAAAGAGTCTTGCTCCAAACAATACAAAATGCACTTGATATCTTCAAACTGCATGTTGTATTAAAAAACGATCACATACTTTGAATCAAAACATAAAAGTACACAAGTTAAGAAAGTTTCTTGCGAATCTGCACAAAAACAAAAGACCGTGTTCTTAAAGCAGGGTACCCTTTTAAAATGATCACAGAAGGTACAAAAGGAAGACGGCCAGTCAGTTAGTGCCATTAAGAAGGCCCATCTGTCGGATTTAGAAGGGAAAAAGCATGCAGAAATATGGGTAATCACTGAAACAGAGTCATTAAAAGCATTTACAACAGAAAAGGGAAGAACAAGTGATGCAGAGAAAATGAGGTAAAAAAAATAGAGCAGATTTAAAGAAATAAAAGTTAAAATGCTGGAGAAAGCGGGAGTGAGACATCTGTCGGTGTCACATCTGTCTGCATGGCAATTAATGTTAAGTACATGGTTCACAAACTTGCACAACATTAGTCTGCAACAGAGTAAAAGTTTTATACAATGATCAAAGAGAAAATAAAAGGTTAAGATCTGTATAGCAGTTGGAAGTTCGAGGATCACTAACCTAGTTGCTGCTCAATGAAGCTAATTGGCAGCAAGAAGACTAAGAACTTCAATGTTACTCTTTTGCCTACACCTTGGTTAACAGTATTTTTGTTGTAAACGAGGACACTACTTACTTTATTTACACGTGTAATGATTGCCCTTTCTTTTATCAGAAAACTGACTGAGATTTGGTGTGTGTGTGATCCTTATGCAGAAAACATTTTCATACGAGTCAATTTGTACGCTGAAATACTTAAGGTAACTTCCATGAGCATAATTAAAGAATCACGCTTAAGAATGCCTCCCTTAGTTTTGAAGGCACATGCTCTCTTTAATTTGCCCCAGTTTTTGCAGCACGATTCTCATTACAGCAATCTTTTCCAACTTGAAATGTGCAGATATGCCTTCGTTTGTACTGATCAGAACAGTGACACTGCCTTCAGTTGACGTACGAAGAGTATGATCAGACGCTCATGAGTGACAGCATGGCCATTGTCATCTGTCAGCCTAACGGCCGACATGTTGTAGAAGTACAAAGAGCATCTCGTCACTTTCATGATTAGCTTTGGCAACATATTGCAGGAGCTAATCACGGAGGCCGTAAGTGCCTGGATATGCGAGGCAGTCAAAAGGAATGCCAGCTGTCAAGTACTCACGGGGCATGTAGCTTTCAACATGAAAAATTTACCGCCATCTGGTCTAAGGTATCTTAACCTAGACCCTGTTGTTTTGGAGTTGATGGCGGAAAGCGCGAAGAGGGTGCAATAGCTCTCACTTCTTCGTTTTTTTCCCCCTTGGTGACCTAAGTTCTATCTTCAATAATTTTGTTTATTTAGTGTGTATGATCTCAAGAGGTGGCAAACAACATGTTACATAATTCTGAAGTGTGTTTTTGTTGCAATGTCCCCCGCTTCTGTTGCATACGGAGAATTCACAACTTCCTCAAAAGTATGCATTAAAGTTGCATTTTAGATAATTTAACAGTGGCATCATTTAAAGGTTGCTATTTAAAGCTGTAAAATAAAAATTTATATTTTGCTCGGAAGTTTCATAATTCAGGCATTAAAAGGTTAATCAGCAGTTTATGACAAAGGCTATCGGCATCACTATTGTTTCACAGCAATGCTGGTGGACACCTTTGTACAGTATTGGAGGCTTTTAAGATAGAAAAATGCAGCTCATAAAATAGCCAAGTGCTTTCGGGACCAACCACTGCAGCAGCAAACGCTATAAATAGCGAGATTTCTGTTACACCAAAAAAAAATTGGGCCCTTTGATCTTTTGTTACATTGTCATAAATGTAAATGCACACTAAAATTGAATGAATCCACAGTTTTATACCAGCGTAAGAATGCACAAAAATGAAATGTGTCTAACAGTTAATACTTGACATAGCAATATTATTGGTAATGCATGCATACCGTAATTACTCTAATCTAACGCGCACCTTTTTTCCGGTTAAGCGAGTTCATGAATTGCATGCGCATTTGAATCGAGTACGAAAAAAAAAAAAAACTGAATACGGTCATTCTATTGCCATTGGCATATCCAAAATGGCCGCCCCCTACGTGCGTCAGCATGGCGTGTCGGCCATTTCTGCCTATATGTTTCTCATGTGCGGCACTTCGTACGTGTGCTGAGGAGTTCGTCATCTTGTAGTGCATTGATGATGATATATGGTGTTTTTTGGCGCAAGGGCCATTTGTTGGCCAAAGAGCGCCATTTCATCTTACTAAAAATTTGGACAATGATTGTGATAAGCGGCTGTATAAGGGCCATAAAATTCCTCGCGATAAGGCGGGTAAGAACATACAAGTAATAAAATGATGACCATGCCGTGAAAGATGTGTGTGGTGTGAATGATGACAAAAGTTGGTGATAATAGGACGATGGTGGATATGTATGGCATTAGCACAAGTGCCTCACTCGTTCATACCCTTGCGTCCAAGGGCCGTGAGGCATGTGCTTTCCTGTGTAGCCACCGCAGCAAAAACCTCTCAAGAGAGGTCGTGCTACGGTATGCCCGGGTATATGGTATGAAAATTATGAATTTCCTTTAAAAACGCTAATAGTGATTTGTGACTAAAAAGCGGTTCCCTACCGACGAACATTGCAGGGTGTAAAGGTATATGTTGTCGGTAGGGTAATGGAAAGTGTTGTTTTCTTACAGTGTCCAATTCTTTGCACTCAATTAAAATGTGAAGAACTGTTAAAGCCTCACCACATTTATCACACAATGGTGGGTCCCCACCGGATAAAAGATGTGTGTGTGTCGCGTATGTGTGCCCTATCCTGAGTCTTGTTAGTGTTACCTCTGTTAGACGTGATTTTGATACTGGTGGCCAATGGCCAAGGTGTGGCTTGATAACGTGTAGTTTGTTTTGTGTGTGTGTATCCCACTTGCTCTGCCAGTAGTTCCTGAGGTTTAGTTTGAGAGACGGCTTAAGATCAAGGGCCGGGATTGATATGGATGTAATGGCGGTCCTCTCATGGACGGATGCAGCGAGCTGATCCGCCCTCACGTTGCCTTGGATCTCACGGTGCCCTGGCACCCAGCACACTACAACATGTTGTTTGTGTGTGTAGAGTGTGCACAAAATGGAGTAAAGTGAGACAAGGACTGGGTTTTTTTGTTTTTTAAGACTGTGCAGAGCCGTTACCACACTGAGGGAGTCTGTGTAAATTACTGCTTTTTGTATTTGTAATTGTTTGATGTGTTTAGCTGCCACCAGTATCGCGTAAGCTTCCGCTGTGAAGATACTTGTGCGTGGATGTAGAGGGCCAGCATCCGAAAAGGATGGGCCGACAGCAGCGTAGGACACAGAGGAGTTAGTCTTGGAGGCATCTGTGAAGAACTCAGGACGTGTGTATTTGTGTTGAAGTTCCAGAAAGTGTGTTCGGATATGGGCAATAGGTGCATGTTTTGTAACCTCTAGGAAAGACACATCGCAGTCTATAGTCTGCCACTGCCACGGTGGCGGGTATGCTACAGGAGCCATTAAACTGTGTTCGAGTGACACTCCAGTGTCCTCAGCTAGACCCTTCAGGCGAACTGAGAAGGGCTGCCTCATTGAAGGCCTATTTTGAAAAAGAATGGAGCTCGCCAAGTCATTAATAGTAGAGTATGAGGGGTGCCTCTTGTCTGCTTTCACCTTGAGGAAATATACAAAGGACATGTAGGTTCTTTGCAGATGAAGCGACCACTCATTTGACTCAACGTAAAGGCTTTCTACGGGGCTGGTGCGAAAAGCACCCGTAGAAAGGCGGATGCCCAGATGGTGCACGGGGTCCAGCATTTTCAAGGCACTTTGAGTGGCAGACTGATAGACAACGGCCCCATAATCTAAGCGGGTACGAATAAGGCTTCTATAGAGGTTCATGAGGCATTGCCTATCACTACCCCACGTAGTACGTGACAACACTTTTATAACATTCATGGCTTTTAAACATTTTGTTTTTAAATACTTTATGTGTGGTACGAAGGTCAACTTGTTGTCCAAGATTAAGCCTAGGAATTTATGCTCCGCATTCACAGACAGACGTTGGCCGTTCAGTTCAATGTCGGGTTCTGAGTGCATGCCTCTCTTTCGAGAGAACAAGACACACGTGCTTTTTCCTGGGTTCAGCCGGAATCCGTTTTCCTCTGCCCATTTGGAGACCTTGTTTAAACCTAACTGAACCTGTCGCTCACACATTGCTAGGTTGCATGACCTAAAGCCAAGCTGGACGTCATCCACATATGTACAATAAAACATATTGCGAGGGATGGTCAAGCGCAAGGAATTCATTTTTATAATAAAAAGTGTACAACTAAGTACACCACCTTGCGGTACTCCCGTTTCTTGCACAAATATTTGGGAGAGAGTACTGCCCACACGGACGCGGAATTTCCGATTGGACAAGTAACTCTCGATTATGGAAAGCATTCTACCGCGCACACCCAGGTGAGACAAGTCTCTTAATATCCCAAAACGCCATGTTGTGTCGTAAGCCTTCTCGATATCGAGAAACACTGAGAGGAAGTATTGTTTGTGGACAAAAGCGTCTCGGATCTGTGCCTCGATACGCACTAGATGGTCGGTGGTGGATCTACCCTCCCGAAACCCACACTGAAATTGGTCGAGCAGATGGTGTGTTTCAAGGAAATGTAAAAGTCGGCGGTTTATCATTTTTTCAAAAAGTTTACAAACGCAGCTGGTTAGTGCAATGGGCCTGTAACTTGAAACTGAGGAAGGGTCCTTGCCCTGTTTCAAAATAGGGATAACAATAGCCTCTTTCCAAGAAGCAGGGATGATACCTGAAAGCCAGATAGCATTGTATAGAGAGAGTAAAGTTTTTCGCGTTTCGAGCGGCAAGTTTTTCAACATTTCATATGTGACACGGTCGTAGCCTGGAGCGGAATTATTGCAAGAGTTTAGTGATGTTTGTAGCTCAGCTAAGTTGAAAGGTTGGTTGTATTCCTCGGAATTTGTGCACTTGGATTCTAGTTTCTGCTTTTCTATCTTTGCTTTGTGTCTTTGGAAAGCTTCAGTGTAGTGTGACGAGCTAGACACCTGCTCGTAGTGTGCACCGAGGAAGTTCGCTTGATCTTCCAGGCTATCACCTTGTGTGTTTACGAGTGGGACTGAGTGTACTTGTCTTCCTGCTACCCTACGAACCATGTTCCAGACTTTAGCCTCTTGTGTATATGAATTTATCCCTGATAAAAACTTGTGCCAGCTTTCTTTTCTGGCCTGCCGACGCGTTCTCCTGCCTCGAGATTTTATTTTTCTAAAGCTCTCAAGGTTTTCCGCTGTCGGCGAGTTCCGCAGCAACCTCCATGCCCTGTTCTGTTCCTTTCGCGCATTCTGGCACTCAGTGTTCCACCACGGAACGTGTCGTTTGCCGGGCAGTCCAGATGTTTGTGGAATGCACTTGTTTGCTGCGTCAGTAAGAAAAGCCGTGAAGTACTGCACAGCTTCATCTATGCCTAACCCGCATATGTCAGTCCAATTTAGGTGAGTAAGCTTTTGAAATCGTTCCCAGTTGGCTTTGTTTACCAGCCATTTGGGAACATGTGGAGGACATTCATTTGTTATTGGTGTACTCAAAACTAAAGGGAAATGGTCACTTCCGTATGGATTATTTATGACTTTCCACTGAAGTAATGGTACAAGTGAAGGAGATGCGATACTGAGGTCTATGGAAGAGTAAGTTTTGTTGGCAAGGTTATAGTATGTTGCCTCTTTCCTATTCAACAGACAAGCACCCGATGAAAGGAGGAATTTTTCAATGAGACGACCTCGGGCATCACAGCGAGAGTCACCCCACAGACCATTATGTGCGTTCAGGTCCCCAAGGACCAGATAAGGTTCAGGTAGTTCGTCGATTAAAGACTGGAATTGAAGTTTTTCGAGACGGTGGTGCGGAGGTATGTACAAAGAGCAAACAGTGACAAGTTTGTTTAGAATAACTGCTCGGACAGCCACCGCCTCGAGGGAAGTTTGAAGGGGTAATTGTGTGCATGCTATACCTTGACTTACTATAACCGCTACACCACCGGATGGTAGCATGGCATCATCTCTATCCTTTCGGAAGATTATATAGTTACGTAAAAAGTTTGTGTTAGTTCGTTTTAAGTGTGTCTCCTGTACACACAGCACTCTTGGATTGTGTTCATGGAGGAGTTCTTGTAAGTCATCGAGGTTTCGAAGAAGGCCTCGGATGTTCCACTGTAATATTTCTGTCTGCATATTTAAACAAGAGAGATGCTGCTGTGTGTACAAAGAGTATCCTGTGTTGGAGTGAGGTCAATAATTCAGGTGGCAGGACGGTCGTCCGGCCCCGTTATTGGTTTTTTATTTTTCTTAACGCGCTCCAAGGAGGCGCGCCGCTCTTTTGGTACCAAGGGTACCGTTGTATCCATTGCCTCCGCAGAGGCACTGGTTGCCCGCACATGCGAGCTGGTGGTTCGGATTTTAGGCCTCGCCTGGTGTGGGGAGGCCTTGAGACCAGAGGACCCTGGAGTCTCCGGCTTCAATTCGCTAGGCGGCGGAGTAGACTGAACTACTGCCGCCTTGGGGGCAGGTGCCACAGCCGTCGGCTCGCTCTGCGCTGGCCGAAGGAGTGACGAGGGCTGCTGCGGCGTTGCCCCCTGACGCGCCGCATCAGCATATGTAGCGCCATAAAATGGCGACACTCTTCGTCTTGCTTCCTTAAATGTAATATTTTCTTTAATTTTCAATGTGATAATTTCTTTTTCTTTTTTCCAAAATGAGCAAGACCGTGAGTATGCGGCATGATTTCCGCCACAGTTCACACAGTGTGATGGTTCTTCGCAATTGTCAGAGTTGTGGCCTGACACTCCACATTGTGCACAAGTTTGGTGACCACGACAGCTTTGTGAGCCGTGGCCATACTTCTGGCATTTGAAACAATGACGTGGGTTAGGTATGTATGGTCTGATCGACGTCTTAGTGTAGCCTGTTTGAATACTTTCTGGGAGATTACTGGAAGCGAACGTGAGTATTAGGTGTTTTGTTGGTGTTGCCTTGTTGTCTCTTCTAATGGTGATCCTTTGTACATTGGTCACATTCTGACTCTTCCACCCCTCCAGAAGTTCCTCTTCAGTCAAGCTGAGCAAATCAGCATCAGATACTACTCCACGGGTTGTGTTCATGGATCTGTGTGGCGTTACAGTGATGGGAGTGTCACCAAAAGTTGAAAGATTCTGTAGCTTTTCGAACTGTTCTTTTCCTCGGACTTCAAGGAGGAGGTCTCCGCTGGCCATTTTGGTAACTTTGTACCCGGCTCCAAGAGTTTCTGTGAGACATCTGGCTACTACAAAGGGTGATACGGTTCTGGCTTGCTTGCTGCTTATTTCACTATGTATAACATGAAAATGGGGGAAGTTTTCACTTGATTGGTTGAAAAAGCCTAAGTCTTCGGTGCGTACACGCTTTAAGGCGGTACGATCACTTAATAGGGGAAATGCTTTATGCATGCCAGTTTAATTTTCTTCAGAAGCGTTGGCGGCCACCCACCACGGAGCCCAACAAGGGGACGCTACAAGTTTGTGGATGCTAAAACCTGCAGACGCCAGCCGTACAACGCAACTATAACCCAATGCGCCTAGACCAAGGTAGGCTATTTGCACAGGGTTAACCCTCGCCGCCAGGAAGTTTGGAAGTAAACAGAAGAGAGTAGAAGACAGGACAGATAAACAGTAAGAGATAAAGACGAAGATGTAGGGAGAGAGAGATAGGAAAAGGCGACTGCCGATTTCCCCTGGGTGGGTCAGCCCAGGGGTGCCGTCTACGTGAAGCCGGGGCCAAAGGGGTGTGTTGCCTCTGCCGGGGGGCCTTAAAGGTCCAATCACCCAGCGTCAGCTCAACCCCCAGGATTCCCTTTTCCCCGGACACGGCAAAGCCACGCACGGCTAGGCGTGGGAGGGAGTAGAAACTCCCCCGTTAGCTCGGGTCCGTGGTGTCGCTACACACCAAACGCCTGCTTTATCAGGCGCCCCTGCGGGGATCTTGTAGTGCATTAGCGTCGATGGCGTGGAAGGACCGACTCCAAAAACTCGACTGCACTCCAAAAACTCGACTGCACCTTGATGCCGCTTTTAAGAGAAAAGTCATCGCGTGTGTAGAAACGGACGGAAATGGGCCGCATCGCGGTCTTTGGAGTTTCCGAAACGTGTGTGCGGGACTGGCGGAAACAAAATCAGAAAATTGTCGACAGCAAAGCTTCACGCAAAGGCTTCAGTGGACCACAGTAGGGTCGGTTTCCGCAAATTGAAGAGCTGCTCAGCGAGTATGTGCTTGAGCAGCGAGCGGCACAGCGGCCCGTGACGACAGAACTGCTCCAAGTGTGGGCTATGCAGTTAGCCTTAGAATAGAAAAAGTGCTAATGCGGAGCCAGTTTAAAGCGAGCAGGTGCTGGCTAACTAACTTTATGAAGAGGAAAAGCTTTTCCCTCCGAAGGCGAACGGGCCTATGCGAAAAGTTTCGAGAGGAGTACGATGAAAAGCTTCACAGTTTTCAGAGGTTCGTCCTAAACTTGTGGCACAACAACGGCTATCTGCTTGGGAAAATCGGGAATGCCGATCAGATGCCTCTTTACTTGGACATGCCTAGCACCACAACCGTCGAGAAGAAGGGGGCGAAGCAAGTTCGCGTGCTGACATCGGTCCACGGTAAAACTGCAGTGACGGCAATGCTCTGTTACACGTCAGGTGCGCACAAGCTTCCCCCATACCTCATATTTAAATGGAAGACGCTCCCGAAAGGGGTCGTTTTTACGAGTGGTGTGATCGTGCTGGCCAACGAGAAAAATGAGTACGCGTTGCAATCGTTGTCTTACTTTTTTTTTTCGCCGTCGAAACCGGGTGCGCATTACAATCGAGGGCGCGGTAGAATCGAGTAAATACGGTACGTGAGCGTTTGATCACCTTGCATAATGAACGAATATAAAATACTTATATCAAGGCTCGACGCGCCGCTAAATGTTAACCTGCACTGAGCGCTAAGTGAACTCACCCTCCAGCTCTGAGGGCCTTGAGCCTCTGCTCCATTCGGTCAAGTGACTCCAGCTGCCTCTGTCGATTGTGCCGTGCGTTGGGGCGTACTGATGGGCGAGCGCTGCCAACTGTGGACATGGCCGTCTTCTTTGAGGACATCTTCCGCACCACGTCATCACTCGTTTCGTCTTCTTCATCGCAGCTTGAACTGCTGGCTGTAGATGAGCCTAGGTGAATAATAGTCACAAGTGCCTTTACATTCACAAATGGGACATGTACACAGTGGAACTTCGATTATACGTCCCCCGGTTTCACGACGACCCACATTTTATGACGAATTGGTTAGGTCCTGGCAAAATCCCCATAGGAATAATTTATTAAAAACCTCGGTTATACGTCGCAGTTTTACACCGACCCCGCATCTTACGACGACATTCAGATTTCGTCCAAAAGAAAAAAAAAAACGCCTTTACTCGAATGAAGCGTAGAACAAATATTCACGAGTGCAAAATATAAACTTGCGCTCCCCTAGGTTGACGATTAGAAAAGTAGAGAGCGGGACAGATGTCTTCTTAGAATGGAAAATTTATTCTACTACAAGTTCATGCGCTTCTACACACGCCGCAATCGCGTGTGCAGTTATATGGGGTTGTTACATAGCCAAGCTCTATCCACACAAAGTAGCTCTAACCGGCCGAAAAGCTGATATTTTTATGTTTTCAGTGCATGGAAACATTTTCTGGTCGACATACAGCCGATCTCCTGCCTTTGTCGCACTCGCAGTCACAGGCTTGCGGACGCATAAGGGCGCGACACAGCTGTTTTCACTGTGAAATATTACTTTCACTTGACGTCGACGTTCATACTAATAGCAGGACATCACTAGTTGCGATACACAAGGCCACAAATTACAACGTGCATAGCTCAGTCGCACAAGATGGCATTCTACGCACACTCGTGGTCGGTCGCCATAATGTGATAGCAATGACACTGTGTCTGACTCTTCTGACGGAAGGCTATTGGCAACATGGTTTCGTTTTCACACGCAGAAAATTTTCGGTCTCTATTTATCTGTAGAAAGATGCACGTTAGATTCAATTTTTCTTAAACTTGAGAATAGAGATTCGCTCGCACCTCTTTCAACTAAGTCACGCTGCCATTAGCTGTCGCTAGCAAGAATAAAATAATCTACCTTCCTGGCAGAGGCACAAGGTCGAGCAGTCGGCTTATTCTGGTGGTCTATACCCATTTTTTGGGGCAAGGCTGAGTGTCATTGCTGTATTTTTAGTTTTCCGATTATACGACAGTTTTGTGGAATCCCCTGAAAGTTGTATAAGTGGGGTTCCAGTGTACTTATGTTGCAAAACCTATTAAGGAAGTGAAATAAATCAATGATTTAGAAAAACAAACAACATAATGACTGTTTCAGGAGCTTTAGACTTCAGTTGCAACTAATACAATGTATTTTGCTTGAAGTGTCTAGAGATAGTAGCCGGTAGCATTGCTTGTTAGCAGGCACCTTACAAGAAGGTCTTTGAATCTACATACACACACACGCTCAGTACTGCTGCACACAAAGAACTGTGCCCTAACTTCAGAGTCTAACATATTCTTCCACTATCTTAAAGAAACACTAAAGGCAAATAACAATTTATGTCAGAGTAAAAGCTCAATGTATGACATCTGAAACAACAATATTATCAACAGCACTGCCCTACTTACCGAGAAATTAAGGTAAATGCACGAGAACACTTACACCAAGTAGGACATTCTCAAAATGATCCCGATGAAATCAGAGTTACAGCCTGTGATAATCACTAATAATTGAACTAGCTGCAATAAAAAACGTTCAATGCATCAAGAAACATAATGAAATGCTCCTTGTCCATTTGTTCAATTTATAGACAGAAGAACCGGTGAATGTTACTATGGAAAATGGCGTGAGTGGTTCAACAGTTCAATTTGTGATTGGTTAAACTAGGCTCAGTAAACCAAGCACATCTGCCATCTCGAAGGCCATGGCGGAAATTGTTATATGGCTATTGTTGCTGCTGTGGCTCCCACTACTTTAGTTCTGCTGCTACTAGTGTTGGCAGCCGTGCAGTAAAGTTTAGCAACGTTTTGCATGCCAACAGTGACGTGAAACATTCTGCTTGAGGCGGGTAATTTGAAGTGCACTAATCCGATGCAGACCACTAAAACGCGAGTTTATTTGAAAATAAGCACTTCCTTGGCACACAAAAGTAACACTACGAGGTTTCTAGACCACTATTTCAACAATCAACGTCGATTTAATAGTTGCCTTTAGTGTCCCTTGAAGTCACCGCTAACAATGGTGATGTGCAGCTGAAATCTTGAAAAGTTGTTACCGTCAGCAACACGGTAACATCACTACAAAAGACAAAAACAAATCACAAACACAAGGAATGAACATGACGGATGTCAGGCAATTACAGTTCTTCTGGAACATCTTCTGGAAATAAAAAAATTAATGCCTAATACAATGAACACACTACTGTTGCTAAAATCTAGACAATCTGATTACAGGCATTACAAAGTAATGTGACTAAATGTAGCAAGGAGAGATTAAACACAACGTGAAATGCTCAGGACAGGTGCTGAACATCAAAAGCTACAACCACATTTCATTTTAACAACGTCAGGAAATACCAGCATTTGCTCATGATAGAAACCAGCTCACAAAATCTTACGTTCACAGATACACATACCGCTTCCAATCACAACTTCATATCTCGAGCATATAGGATAGTCAAGCACCATATTGAAATTGCCTTTCACATTTTCGCTAGTGCGTCATACAGTGGAGCCCCTTCATAAGAGACATGCACTGGAGAGAAATTTGTCTTTTATATGAAGTGTCTTATAAAACCAGGGTACTACGGCTGCATTTTCTTCTCATCCCCTGTTTCAGTGTAGGCACATTGGCACAATGGTGCCTCTCCCATTTGTTTCAGTGTCTCTTGAAAAGGGGTTCGAATGCACAGAAATTCAACCCATCCGCTATCGTTTTTAGCTGTCTAAATGGTTTGGTAGGTGAGCCCATTGACAGGAAACATTAAACAGGTACCGACCAGGAAGAGCAAAATCTGGCGGGCTCTGCTGCGATGTGGAGGGTTGGCCAAGTGTAGTTGAGGTAGACGTGGAGGAAGATGTTGAAGGCGGCGACTCGAGAGGCCTCTTCAGAACACCTCTGGTTCCGTTGACACATGCATCCCGCTGATTATCACATGGTGGAGGCCTGGAAGCATAAAAAGACATACGAGATATGTTATTTTCTTTCAACTTGCACGCCGGTCCCACGAGCACACGAAATGCCTTTTACATAAGTGATCTTTTACAAAATTTAATGAACATTTAATTAAGGGGCATTGTTTCGCATACACATGGCACTGTCTACCTCGTTTTAGCATTTTGACCAAACAAGCCACCGAAAAGTATGACGCCAGCTTTTGATACAAAACCAGTCAAAATAAAATTATTTGTATCGATATATCAAATTAAGTGCCTCTCACCAACCACTGTAGCCGGTGCCTTTTGCATGCAACCAAGGCTGTTTAGTCGCCAGTACTGGCTATGTATGTCACGATTAGGGGTGTGCGATTATTCAAAATTTCGAATATTTTTCAAATAGTGCTCACTATTCGATTCGATTTGCACTGGAACTTGACTAATCAATTATTCAAATTTCTCGAAGACAAATACAGTCATTACTCAATTCACAATGACCCCTTTGGAAATTTAATATGCTTTACCCAACCACATTCTTGCCTTGTGGCAAAGCTGCCTTTCAGTCTCTACTAAGATTACAAATTTATTGACTCGACGGAATGCAGAAGTGAACGAAGTTGGGCCTGCTGGTACTGCATAGCAAAACAAAAAAAACCAGCTGAGGTGAAAAATGATGTCTGTCATTCTTGTCCTTGTCTCTTAAAGGGACCCAGCAATGGTTTTGACGATTTTGTACAACCACACTGGGCCAGTATACCAAGTCCTTAGGGTCATTTACAGACCAATTTCAGCTCTCTTGCTTTAAAGCTGCAAATCGCTGCTGATAGCTACAACTCAACCAAACGTGTTTTCAACTGCACATTCACAGAATGACAAGCTCTGGTAAAGCGATGTTGCCCTGGCTGCTGATCTGATTGGCCCGGGAATGCGAAAGTAAGATGGGATGGTAGGGTGGCGGCACCTGTCGGGACAGGTATCAACTACTCCGCAATCTTCATCACTGTTACCAGGCAGCATGCGTGCTACCGGCCGCACTATGTAATGACCTCCGAGATTGCGAGCAACCTGTCGGCTTGCAATCTCACCGGTCAAAACTGGCTGAAGCTCAAATCGTCTAGTGCGCTCATGAGAGCTCTGTGATTTCCAGCGATGGCAGCATATCATAAGTTGAGGAGGTAAGCCGGAGGTGAGATGGAGGGCATCATACAATCGTCTTTAAGGCCTTGGTACACAGAGTCGCTAAATTTGTGGTGTGAATAATTTGATAACGCTATAGCCTAAACGCCAACAAAACTTCATAAGGTTGTTTCAGAGTCCCTTTAAGCGCTCATTTTTTTCCTTTCGTTAGAAAAGCACGAATTCCAACATAAAATGGCTTTTTCAAATTTTCAATATGCTTCACTCAATAATTCTCTAGTATTAGGGCAAAGCTACCTTTCAAGCTCTGCTACGGTCGCAAATGGATTGACTCGAGAAAACGCTAGTTCCAAATATAAATGATATATGTGGCAGAAGTGGGAACTCAATTAATGCTGTCTCGGTCCTGAAATTCGGACAGGAAGTGAAAAAAATAGGACTTTAAAGATTTTTAGCATCTAGAACTTCAGACCTTCGTATATATTGAAGCCTATGAGGCAGATTTGGAACAGCAGACTCGAAGGGAGCACATCTTTGTAAGCCACATCAGTTCAGCTTCCACAGAAGTTGAAAGAGGAGGAGACGCTGAGGAAATAGAGTCCACACCTTTTACGTTGTCGTGTGTTATGGACAAGTGTTGTCGGCAACAATATGGTTGCACCAAATCGTGTACATAGATACTAAGCTTGTGCCAATATTCAAATGCTTCCAACAATGGAATGAATATGACAGTATTTGAATTCAGTTTGAATCGAATTTAAATTATTGAGAGTGTTTTTACTGTCTTGAAATGAATGAATAAATTCATATTAGTCCACATGTGACACCCTGTAAAAGTGGTTTCACTGCAGTGAAGTAGTGCTAAGTCGTGAGAGCACTTATTCAAGCGTATAATATTTGCATGTAACCTTCCAATAAAAGTAGTTCCACTGCAGTGAAGTAGTGCTAAGCCATGAAAGCACATATCCATAAAAAGCCGTACTGCAGCGAAACCCCATTTCAAGGTTAAAAGAGGATATTACCTTCACATCAATTCGTTTTGGAGTTTACAAACTAGTTTTACCCCCGTACATGCTCTAAGTATAGCAAATTTTTATTTATTGATTGATATGTGAAGTTTAACATCCCAAAACCACCATATGATTATGAAAGACACTGCAGTAGAGGGCTCCGAAAATTTCAACCATTTGAGGTTCTCTAACGTGCACCCAAATCTGAGCACACGAGCCTACAGCATTTCCGCCTTCATCAAAAATGCAGCCGCCGCAGCCGGAATTCGATCGCGGGCGCTGCGGGGTCAGCAGCCGAGTAAACTATAGAAAATTTGAAAAAGTAACATATTTTACAGGCTGTCACTTGCATTCTACCGAAAGTCAAATCCGGCTACTATTCAAAGTTGTTTCTGCTTTATTCGATACAAAAAAATGGCACTTTCACAGGCCTTGTTTCGATTTTTTCAAAATGAATGTGCAGATTAGTTTAGGTCCTGACAAATATACCCACTTTTCTTTATGATATGTGATATATATACATATACTATTCGAGTTAGGTTCAAAATTACTCAACGAATATCACTATTTGTTGTGAACCTTAAATTCACACAAGCCTAATAAATATAAATCAGCCACTGCATTGCCCAATTCTTCATAAAACAACTACGAAACGAAACTACCAACACTTCATGAAGTCAGCCACAAGAAGCATATTCACGTTGCTATCTTATAAGAATATGCTTAGAATCCTCTGAAGCTTTTTTTTTTTTCTCCTGCAGTTTGACTTGGAAGTACTTGAAAAATTTTCGAATATTTTAATCCACTTCACACCCAAAATTTTGCTATTCGTGCAGCTCTAATTTATACCACTAACCCAGGTGTGCTGTATACTGCATTCAACACCGTGCCATCAACATAATGTACTTTTAACTTGGACAGGCACAGTGCCTTACTACTGCATGAAAACTGCATTCTTAAAATTCATATTTTAACAAAATTAAGTACATAGCAATTGTTCTTTTATTCTCTTTCTCCTTACTAAATTGTTGTAATTCAGTAACTCCTATGATAAGCATAGCAGTGCAAACTATCGTTACACTGGCAGAAAAAGAAACTTCTCTGCAAGCATATAATAATAATAATAATAATAATAATAATAATAATAATAATAATAATAATAATAATAATAATAATAATAATAATAATAATATAGATAAAATCAGCTATCAGGTTACACCACCTGTTTGGTTGTTCAATCGGAGGCACCCACACTCGCTGAGTTTGGCGTACTCTCATCAATCCAGCTGGATGCAACCCAGAGGGTGAGGCATATGCTCGCTGCGATTTGCTCAGCACAACTACCCGGTCACCGACCTGCAAAGAAGGAAGTCATAATTGGCAAGAGCAATACTTAAACGAGTCTTAGACCATCCTTTAACATTGTAAACAAACCTGAATAAGAGATGAGACATACTGATATGTTCTTCAGTCACGCTTACTCTACTCACACCTCAATATAACAAACACAGATTTAACAAAATATTGGTTGTAACGAAGTGAATGAAACGAAGTGAATGAAAAATAGTCTTGCAATAGATACAGTGTTAGGAATAACCTTAATAGCAAATTTTGGATATATAATGAACCTAACTTCTTGTAAAATGCAACTTAGATACAATGAGGTATGAGTGTATACTTAGTTACAGCCTAAGAAAAAAGTGTCAGCTCTACCACCAGCTATCACTGTCCCTTCCACAAAGAATTTGCATGAATCCTACAACCAATAAAGCTTACCTACTCCTTTTCATGACTTCAAGCACTTCTCGAGAGATTCAGCTTATTTCCCTATAATGATGCACATTGGTGTCGCTGGTTTGAGGCCGGAAATGTGAACATGTTGGTAAATTTAGTTGGAGATTCTGACATCGTTGCATAGCCAAATGTATTGCTTCAGGTAGTAACAACAAATCTACATATTGTTTACATTAGCTGAGAAAAAGTACTAGTGGTTCAAGAGGGAACCAGCTAGACCACTGCCTTCAAACTGGTTTGCTGTCAGGTTTTTCCAGCCATGATGCACCCCTACTGTCTGCCTGCTTGGTTTCAAGAATATCAGAGAAAGTTTGAAACGAAGAGAAATGACATGTTATCAAGTGAAGATAACAGGTAGGGATGGAAAGTAGACGCACTTATACTGTTGGAGAGGCAAACGTGAGCGCCCATGAGCCCCTGGTGAGCCCCTCCCCCCTCTCAAAAAAAAAGAAGAAACCCGCAAGATTGTGGTAGACAGCAGAATGACCCCCGTACCCGTAATCACATGTACACTGCACGGTCACTCTGTTTGCGATAGTAGCTACCATATCCCTCAGCAAAGAAGAATGGGTGTGGTTGCTTCGTACTCTTCGATAGACGTACCAAACCAATGAAGAGCAGAAATACGTGCTTCGAGATAAATTCAAGTGATGGCGCGACCAGTAGAATCATGCAAAACATGCCAGTTTTGCGCTCAAGTGCACATTCTTAGACACATAACAGAGAACATATTGGTGTGCCAGTGATACTGCGAAGGGGAAATGCGAGAAATTGCCTATGAGAGAGTGACCGTGAAAGGATTTGAATCGGGAGCGGGCCATGGTTCACTGGGCGGAGTCCACATTTTTTCTTAGGTTGCAACCGTAAAGTACTAAACAGAATGAGATATAAAGGGCAAATACAGACACCAAGAACACAGGAAATAACCAGGCGTAGGTGCGAAATTGTAATAATGAGACACAAATTTCAGAAATGCATCTTTGCTTTGTGTAGCAGAAAAATACTATATAGAAAGAAATTTAACGAGATAAGAGGTTCCTAAGCACATAGACAAGAAAGGTGATCACTCAAAAATTCATTAAAACGCATTTCCAACCTTGCCCCCCTCTGTGACTAACCCCCTTCTCAAAATATGAATAAATTCATCCAACAAGAAGATATTTAAAGCTATCTGTATACCGCTTAAGTCTGCACTGGTAACATCATAACTAAATATTTAGCAAGAAACAAGCTTTGCATAAAATGATTACAATTCTTTCAAGTAAGCATTTCTTGGTTAGTGCATCTTGTTGCATATTGTTTGTTTTCACATCGATAACAGAAGCCAATAATTCATAAATAAACAATCACTTCTAACAGCAATGCCTTCAATTACTTTCACTAGCTTCTGAACCCGACATTCTTCTTACATTCACAGTACAAAAGACAACACACTGAAAGCAAAAATTGAGCATTTGGGGAGTATTTCTCAATATTTTCTTAGAGTGAAACATCGATCAAGAGATCACCCCCTCTATACTTTAGCTTTCTCAAATCCCTGCCTGCATCTGTCCGCGTTGGTACATTCCTCTAAACTCAGTGGTCGCTGGATAATCTTCATCTGACATCAAGCAATGCCAAGCAAAGCAAGAAACAATGCGATAAGGTATCTTGAATTGTCACACATTCTCTGACCTTGCAAGCAGGATGAAATGAAAGCTGTGGCGCTGCATGTTCCTTGTTTGTCACCTGTGACTTCCTTCCAGCTCCATGGCTTTTCGGGGTCGTCGAAAATTTCCAACAGCCACACATCGTTTAAAAGCTGCAAGTGAAGATGCAAGACAAATAGGAAAAGAAAAATGAATGTTTCTGATTTACAGAAATTTCTGTACAACCACAAAAAATGTGCAAAAAATACAATAAGTTCAACTACAGTATGCATGCACAGTACTCACGAATTGAAATCCAACATCCTTTTTAGAATAATGAGAGCATTTTACAACTGCTAATAATAAGTACACTACTAACGTGGTCACTGAAGGTAAATGATTCATTTAGGTATCCTTATTAAATACAGACCGGATAACTTTGCAGCGGTTCGTTACAGAAACATGGCTTGACAAAACGTCTCCGAGAAATAATGATGCTGCAAGTTAGCCTTCTTCAGTGAAACTACGTGATCTACTAAAATAAATGGCGATGCAAGCAGGCAATAAATGGCAATTCCCCAAGCTGATGCTGATAACCATAAGCACAGCACTGTGTACATACCATGTTAGGACCCCCGCAGCCTCCAACCACTAGAATGTGATTTTTCTCCAAGGTAATCTGAAACAACGAATTCCAAAGACAAATTAAAGTTACCAGTACAAGCTTCTTTGCTTCGATGTTATCTATAACAACCAGTGATAGCCAAGCTTCAAATAGAAGACCCTTCTTTTTCTTTTAACAGGCCAATCATTGTGCAACAAGGGTACCTAAAATTTTGCATAAAAAGACCTCTCATAGGAAAGTATAGAAAATCAGAGATTCGCTCTACAAGCACAAACTTTCAACCCTCGTTTCACTACTCTATTTTTTGCTACTAAGTGATCTATTTCTTGCTTTAAGTGAAACTAGCGAAACTTCACGGCCTGGCAAGACAGTGCCACAAAGGCTTCCTTGCATACCGAGATATCAGTGAGGATATTCAAGAGCCCCACCTTCATTGCTTTATCACCAGCACAGCAGCTTTGCAGACTCTCACAGCTAACAAAAAAGTTTGGAACTCCTTAACATTACGTCTACAGATGTCAGCCCTGTAACCCTCCAAGCGTCTCTGAGGCAATGCAAGAAACAAAAAGAAAAGAATGACACTAACTTGTGAATGGCCATAACGAGGCCATGGCTTTGGTGTAGTTGTGCTCTGCTTACTCCACACGTAACTCTGAAGGTCCAGGACCCATATGTCGTTCGAACTGAAAGCCCATCCACAAAACAGGTCACAGCACTTAAGCACTGTCAATCGGCAACCTGCTCTCCCAAGGAGGAAAGGAAAATGTGAGACAAATTTACAAAGAACATAATTTTTTTATACTCATCACATCAGTGTTCCATATATATATATATATATATATATATATATATATATATATATATATATATATAATATATATATATATATATATATATATATATATATATATATATATATATATATATATATAAGGCAACTTGAGTGCATAATACACCAATTTGATCTGAGCCATTCGGAATAATGATACTGCAATTTACGATTGTGGGAGGCCAAACGGGTCAAGGCCAACTGCCACAAAGCAGAACGTCACTCAAACAACAGCCATAATTAAGTCCTGCAGCAAATACAATACGTATGTGTATTAATAATAGCAACTGCTTGCCTGACAATCACAAGAACGACAATGACGAGGCAAAACATAATGTGCAACAACAATGCCAACATTGGCGCCATGATGGCTCGCATGTCACGGAGGCTGCAGAGACAAGAGTTTACTTTCCCGGCAACTACAACTGCCAATAAAACACGAACACGGTCAACGTGATAGCTGCGAGAGTGCCACTAAAGTTGGGTGAAGTGCCCTTGACACCTGTTGTCGTGAGACTGACATTGGAGCAAGCTATGAATTCAAGCCAGTTATCTTTACAGTCCACACTAAAATGCCTTACATAAGCAGGAGGGTAGCAGCAGAGAATGGTGTCAGTATAAGTGCAAACTAAATGGATCGGCAGGACCGGTGCGAACAATGAATGTCGAGGACATTCTGTTCAGGTTCTTTGAGGACCACAGCAATAAGCAAGAGCATTTTTTGCACCTCGACAATGTGACATTGAGATAGAAAAAGTTTAGTCCAGCAACATGAATAATATATGTATATGATAAAATATGTTCACAACAAAACAAACTTGGAGCAGCTTATATTACAGCCCTCATTGAACAGCCAGTCACTGTCCCAATTAACCATCATTTTAACACCAGTTACACTTCAAGGGTGTTAAAAAAAAAGGCCACACCTCAATTTAGACCTAATCAAGTGCAAACCTTGCCAATTCCCTGGATACTTGCAGTTACCAGAGGAATGTGCTCAGACCACGCAACTCATTAAAATAATGCATCAAAATAAAGCTGCTGCTTAAAGGGGAAAAAAATGAAGTGTTACTTCATGCTAAAATGACCATTGCGTTTCTCAGAAAGCTTTCAGTACCAAGAACTCTAACAATGTACTGGTGGACACTACACACCTAGGCTGGCCCAGCAACAGTCACAATCTAGTGTAAAATCGATTTTATATAGCAATTATGCAGACACTAATGGAGGTTGGGGTGAGCAGGATCTTTGTCATTGGGGTTGCTTTGTCATTCTGTATATGCTGAAGGTATAATTATAGTTCAGAAAAATTGTTCAGAAGAAAATTTTCACAAAGATTGCAACCAGGCATTTCAACCTATGACCTCTTGATCTTCAGCACGATGTACTAAACTCCAGCACTGCAGCATACATTCTCCAGCACACTAACAACAAGCTACTTATATACACTATTTACTGCTGGAGCTGCACAAAGGTCTAAAGTGCTTCAGCATAGCAAAAGTTTGTTAACTATCGCCTATGAGATGGTGCAAAGGGCACGCTTTAAAGGTCATCACACCGCGCATTTTTCACTGGGGTTGGGATGTGTGCTTACATCCCCTATACTTTAATTTACATGGTGCGGTTGCTCATGCATGTGCACTTAAAGGTCATCACACCGCGCATTTTTCACTGGGGTTGGGATGTGCGCTTACATCCCCTATACTTTAATTTACATGGTGCGGTTGCTCATGCATGTGCACTTATATTTTGAGAGGGGCAGTTTGTACATGTCGTGCTTTGAATGCGAAGTTTGCATTGAAACTATAGACAGCACAAAGGTCACTTCACTCGCTCTGTTAGCCGCATTTATGAATGAGCGAGTTGCCAGCTGGAAGAACCAAAGTTGGTCATGCATAGACGACATTTTCAGCGCTCTGCTCAAACACAAAGTGGGATGTGCAAAAAGAACGAACAGGAGTACGTAGAATGAGCACGAACTAACAAATGTTCACTGGCAGTCACCCCGGTATCGCTTCGCGAACATACCTGGAGAAAGGCCCAACAGGGTTGGCACAGTGCAGACCACCAAAGACCACCATGAGGTGGCCTTGCATGGTGGCTGAGTGACCTGCCATGGATGGGCAGCCCCCAACCGTGCTCACCTGGGTCCACCGGTTGGCACTGCAGTTGTACACGTGCAGGTGGCGGAAGATGCGCCACGCCTACACAATGATGCAAAGGCTCAGCGTTTCCATACGCCACACGCACATGTGCACATGTTGCAAGCCAAATATGTGAATGTGCGAGTTGCTAACAGTGATAGACGTGACTTTCTACATTTCGGAGCCTTTCGGAGGAGAAAAATTACCGCTTTGGTGCAGATAATAAAGTTTTTTGCAGCAGATAGCAAAATATGCCCTATAATATATATGCCCGGGCATACCTTTCCCATAGATACCAAAGTGTCTCAGTAGATGGCTCAAGCTCCACCCCAACTTCAGTTCAATCCGGTATACCACAAGGCTCCACCCTTGGCCCGCTTCTGTTTTTAGTATTTATTAATGATATAGTCTGTGACATACCCGTTAAAATAAGGCTTTTTGCAGACGACTGCATCCTGTACCACGTCATCAATGACCCCAACGACCAGATCACCCTAAACAAATCCCTGGATAAGATACACTCTTGGTGTTCGACTTGGCAGATGAGCATTAACCCAAAAAAGACCGTCGCTATGAGAGTTACCCACAAAAAAAGTCCCTTTCTTTTCACCTATTGCATTAACAATAACTGTATATCTTCAGTTAGCAGCTACAAATACTTAGGGGTTATAATTACCTCCGACCTAAAGTGGAACGAGCACATAGAGTACACACAAAAAAAAGGCAATGAAGGCACTTGGGTACTTACGCAGAACCATTGGAAAATCTATCAAAGAAATTAGAATGTTGGCGTACAAAATTTACGTGAGACCCATACTGGAATACGCGTCTCCTGTGTGGGAACCTCATACATCGGCAAACATTAAAAACTGCAACGTGTACAAAGAAAATCCATAAGGTTCATTTACAACGCTTATAGAAGAAACACATCCCCCTCGACCCTCCTTGAAAGTTCGGACTTGGAACCCTTAGAACGCAGGCGCTCCCGTGAAAGACCGAAACTGTTTTATGAGATCTATCACAGTAACCTTGGAATCGAATAAAACTAAATATATTCTACCGTCGAAATCACGTATAACCCGGTCACACCACAGCAAGAAAGTCCAGGAATTTTCATGCAGAACCACTGCTTTCCAAAAATCATTTTTTCCCCGAGCAGCACGTAGTTGGAATGCCCTGCCCGATGAAGCTGTTTCATCCACAACTGTCGCTTCATTCATGAATGCGATAGCAAATCTGCCAGCTATCCTTTGAACTTTTTTTTTCTTTTTCTTTTTTTTTATTTCATTGTCACCGCATTTAATCTCTCTCGTGTGTGTCTGAGTTGTATTACTTTCCTATGTTCAGCGCTAGCTCAGTTGTATCACGCTTCGTCGATTGTGTCGGTATGTGTTTTTCTCGCCTTTTTTTTTTTTTGTCAACAAAACTTGCTCATTCTGAAGCGCTGCATTGACTTCAATTTTTGTAAATCCCTGTTTTTCTTCTATATTTCCCCCCGACATTTTTTTTCTGTTTTAAGCTTCTAGTTGTTTTCTTGCCCTGGAAAATGTCCAATCAAGTGTATCTGTCACCCACTCCTGCCTACGACTTCGCATAGAAGTCGGCAGTATTCACTAAATAAAAAAAAAATAATAACTCCTGGAGCTTGAAGCATCACTGAAGTGTCTCATAAATATTAATAATATTCACCGTGAAAGATACCACAATCAACAAAATTCGCAGGAAACAAACCATTTAAAAAGTGGTTGGTTATCAAATGAACTGCAATATGAGCTATATACTTAATACACAAACTCGGTTATTTTGACATTTCACCAATATAGTCCGCAAGCAAAATTCAAAAAAGAAAAGCTTTATGGCTAAATATGCCAGTTTTGTTGCATAAATATCAAAGCCGATAAATGTGCATACTAGCCTACTATGAAGATAGTATACATATTGTTTTCGGCTATTTTAGGGCCTGCCAGTTGGTCACAAGTTTAAAAATTCTCACATACAGTTTCTGATCTCAATGCCATTTCACAACAGTTACTTCCAAAAATCACAGATCGGAACCACATTTCGCAGCATTTCTGTTTTGATGCAGTTTAGAGCAGCACTTCCATCACTGTATTAAGGGAAAAATGTACCTGATGTAATGGGTATGGGGATGTGTGTGTCCAACCCCCGAAAAGTAGCAGGTTGTCCTTGTATGGTACGAGAGACGCACATGCTTTGGGCGGAGGGTAGGTACCTGAAGAGGAATAAGACACCAGCTCTTAATGCGTTGCAGAGCCAAGCACAGTCACTAAGCATGTAGAATTACTCATCTTAACACACTGAAAGATTATTGCAACATTTTTTTTTTTTGCTTACATCAAGGAAATGCAGTCCCTCAAGCCCAAAACCAGACAGCCGGATAACTAAGAAAATGAAATTTATACCACAAATGCTGTATGCACAGCCTACAACAGTAGGATCCCTGCCACGTCAAAAAGATGATCTTGAACGAGGGTCTCAAGAGACGTGCCCAAGTTTCCTGACAACGGGGTTTGATCGGACACACGAATTAGGATGGGACATGAGGCAGACAGAATAACGACATATACAACTTCAATTGTTCTACCTTCTTAAGAACCGTATCCCTTCCCTTCCTTTACCTGACATTGGCTACCAGGAGCTACAATCAGATGTAGTAGTACTAGTAAGAGACCAAACTTTCGTGTAGTGTGATGAACACCAAGCGAAAAGCCGTTTAAGGATGCTGGTTAAAGTTTTTTGTTTTTTTTTTAAGAGGTGCTGTAATCTATACATCTTTTTTTTCTGAAAGGGGCATCCTCCAAGAAACTACACATCTAAGACGTACAGAAAAGATGACCGGAGACCTAATTATATTTTGTTGGCTGTCACCTATCGGCACTTTCTTGAATAAGCGTAGGCTGAAGTCAATTTCTTGCTTCATAACTGTACTCTTGCACTTTATTCATGACGTACAGGAATGTTTGACGTTCCCACGCCACGCTTCCGTAGGATTACGCGGGATAGCGGCCTGAAAAACCTTTGAACAACCGTGTACGTCGCACGTGAAAGCACAATAATTTCTTACCCATTGTCAGAGGCCGAATCCACCTCCGGGTAGACAGGTCAAGGCGCCAAAGGTCGTTGAAAGTTGTATTTGCTGTCGTACAACCACCGAAAACGTACATCGAGTCCCCAAGCACACATGCGCTGTGCGAGTAGCGCTTCGAAATGGTAGGCCCCGACTCTGTTGGCTTTTGGCACCAGACAACATTTTGGAGCGACACCGAATTCAGGAAGTCCCGGCGTAGCTTGCGTTCTGCCGCTGAAAAGACGGGTGTTGAGTGTTAATGAAAGAGAACCTGTGAAACAGCGCCACTAATGCGTGAGAAATCATACACCATACCTACCTGCGAGTGGCTTTGTAAACAAACGTCTTGCGATTCCTAAGTTACATTTGATGTTTCTTTCCTAGTGCCACCGCGTAGTGAGATTTGTCGGCGAGAAAATAAACGTTCCTGCGTAAATGAGCGCCTTTCTGGGAAACACCAGCACAGTCGCACATGTAACCACGAGACAATTGGTTCTGTTTGGTTTGGCGTTGCATAAGTCGGTTGCACGAAACCACGAAACAAAACCGTCTCGCAAATATGACCCTTCCGAATTACATACATACTTTGAAAAGTATCGGCCACTATTAAATGAAAGCCATTCGGGGGTATTTGCCGATTCCGTTTCGTACCAGAAAGCGAGGATCAAAATGCTGCGATTAATAGAAGCGATGTTTTCCTGTCAAGCAGATGCGAACAGTTGCTGTTTGCGGAATATGAAGACCACATCGCAGTCAGGTGTGCACATACAGTTGACGAGGAATCATCGCCCAGGAATAACTCGTGCGACCGGTGAGAAGGTGATAATCGCGACGGTAAACACCTATAATCTCCCGATGAAATGGAAACCGAAAACGTATAGGACCTACCTCTGGCGTGAGCGTACCAAGCTTTGTTGACTAGTCTACACGACTTGAAGTCTCTGTACGGCGAAAGGTAGCAGAATATGTACTCCAGCACAACTTCCGGAAGGTCGTCAATGCATGCCGCGCTCATCTTGTCGCTTAGAAGCCACGAATTTTAATTATCCGATTGTGCACCATCGCCAAAGCTGCCAACACACTCTTCGCTTCGAACGGCTGGAGGAGGGTGGAGACTGGAGAGCGACGGGAAGGCAAGTACACGCATGGAGATTAACCGGAAGCTGAAGGTATGTCCGCAATAGAGAGAAAAGTCACAGGTAGGTGGCCAGAAGCGAGTAGCGCGGTAGTGCCAACCTCCTTGAGTAGTACGGTAGTTTACAAGTTCATTTGGGTTCGGCATTTAGATTGTTTCAGTCACCGGTGTCGCGTAATTGGAATGGAAACCAAAGCTTCAGCAATGTGACGGGTTATTTTGTCATCTGACGCAAGCTGTTCGTTCTGGCTATGGGGTAGAGATAAGCCGCCATTAAATGAAAATGCCAAGACTCAGGAAACAGAGCAGCTGGTGCTCTTTTCTTTCTCCTTAATTTATCTCCTCCTTAATCTCACTTTCTTCTTTTACCAGTTGTTATGTTGTTCCACCTGACATCACTGCTTTCTCTGAGCTTAACCTGTCCTCCCCAACGCGACAGGAGGCAGAAACCGACGTCCTTTTTATTTCTTCCTCTTTCGTTAACCTCTCTCAACCTCAAATCACTCTCTCCCTTTCCCTTCCACTGATATGCAATACAGTACGATTATTCTATGCTTTAACCTCTCCCCTTATCTACACACTCTCTTCCATTTACCGCCTCTCGCTGTTTTACGTGACACGCACCTTTACAAACCAACCTGTCTTTCGTGTCCTTCTTGTCTCTGTGTCGTCGTTTTGTTCTCGCGCTATAACTATCGTCATGCCATACCAACTAGCCCAAGCTGCCACACTTCTAAGTTATCCTTACCGCTCGGTTTACTTTTCCTTGTTCCCTTAATTTGCTTAATAAACAAATAGAACGGCAACATTCACAAACCAGTCTCAGGTATCTTTTGCCCTGCTTACTGATATGCACTATGATAAACATGGATCAAGGGCTAGTACGATAGAGGAAATGAAAATGAGAGATTAAAATAGGGTTGGTTTCCACTCCTTCTCACTCTCACTTCCCTTTCCCACCATCTTGCTACTATATGCATGGCTGTGCTGTGCTAGAACTGCTAGGCACATACCCACTTTCTCTGGGACCTACCTGCTTTCTGACCCCTCCGCCTTTCTTCCTCCTCACATAACTTCTCCCCAACTTCGCTTCCCTTCCCCACCTCCAATTGCTATACTATACTATGCTAGGGACCTGCCACGGTGGTCATGGAGCTCGACTGCCCACCGGCAGGTCGCGGGATCGAATCCAGGCCGTATTTTCGATGCTAGAGGCCCGTGTGCTTAGATTTAGGTGCACATCAAGAAATCCCAAGTGGTCGAAATTTCCGGAGCCTCCATTACGGCATCACTCATAATCATATGGTGGTTTCGGCTTGTTAAACCCCAGCAATAATTGTACTTATAATTGTACTATGCTAAGGGCTGCTGTTCCTCAGTGGCACATACCCACTGGGTTCGAATCCCAATAGGATTCAGACCCAAGTTTCCTGTGTGTCAGTCCAGCATTCTACCTCTGAGGCACGCCAGTGTTTGAAACTCGTTTGCAAACTGGCCTTAGGCAGGCTTGATATCCGGAACGGAATCGCATTAATATAAGTAATAAAGTGTTTTAGAAGAGCAAATTTGGAACAACTAGGTGTCAGACAATGCAATTTGCATAACGAGTGGGTCGTCCAATGCTTCTACCCATTACAAAAGCTTGTTCTTTAGTAGGCTAGAGCATGCTATCGCTCAGGCCGACTTCTCTGCCTCTTCTTAACCGAGTGTGCGAAAGAATTGAAGTACAAAAGGAAGACACCTGGACTTTGTACTTCAATTTCTTTGCGCACTCAGTTAAGATGAATTACCACCAACTCACCCAGCAGTCCACGTTTCCCCCTGCCTCTCTGTAAATAAACCTTTCTCTTTTTCTTGATCACCTATTAACTGTGGCACATACCCACTTCAGGCACGATTCTTTGTCGTCAGTCACTGCATAAAAAATTTGCACAAAATTCCTTGCAAGTGCATAGCAGATGCCACGCTTCTCCGAAGAATTACAAAGAATAGCATAGTGAAAGCAGGCCTACTAAACAAAAATTATGAGTATTTATGGTGTAGAGGGTATCCAGCAAGTATGCTTGTAGCAGTTACCCAAAGAGTGTTAGAAAAGGTTCTGAATGGTCACTCTTCCAGCTTTCGCTGTGACTGTGCTGCGTGTTCCACGCGGCCCTGGTGGTTAGTTCTTTGCATTAGCAGCAAGCTGAACAGTTTGATTAGCATGCTCTAGTCCCACATATTCCTGCGAAACAGCCTTCCAGATTGCCAGCCAACTTTGCACGTTACACACTCGAGTAAACTTGCCAGTCGGGTCACAGCAGTGACACAAAAGCAGCCTGTGCAGGAACCCCCTTTTTCTTTTAATCCTGCAGATGCGCCCGCTGCAAAGAGTTCTACAGATGCCCTTGCATATGCTAATGCCAGCAGACTGGAGTCTTGTAGGTGTTGAGATTCTCAATTGTTGAGCAAGGAATGCCCAACGGAGTTTACATTTCGACTATAGCACTTGTCATTAGAGCACGATCTCAGTGCAACTGACAGCAGTCACCCTGACAAAGACAAGTCCTCCTCTAGGAAAGGTCGGCTCTGGTGGCATTCCCTACTCAACCTCACAAAAGAGTTAGTTGGTTTTTCACGATCTTACAGAAAAAAAAAAAGCGGGAACAATGTATGAACACTACGTCTGTGTTCACCTGTTGCTATTTTTTTGTTCAAGCATTTCTCCATGCTCAAAGCCTCCATGTCTTACCCTTAACATCTGAAATGTAGCGATCTTGTCAGCAGCATACAAGCTTAAAAAACATGCCAGTAGTCTTACTGAATGTCAACAGCTTGTCTGTACTCTAGTAATCCACCAGAAAAGACTGGTGCAGAGTATTTTGATTGGGGCATTATTCGTGTCAATTTGTGTCGGTTGCAGGGAATGTATGCACAAAGCCTACGTGGGTTTCCACTGCCTGTCAAAATGTAGAGACTTGCTAGTGAAAATCACACCAGCTCTTGCCATGCATGAATTATTCAGTATCTTCATTACACCAGGTCTTGATCTGCGTAGTATTGTCATGTGTGTATTACTAAATTTTTTCAGTGCTTAATGCTTTTTCAGTGCTTCATTAATGCTTAAAGTGTAGCACTGAAATTACAATGTTCAGTATCAGTTAAATGGCAGCCGGAAGTGCTTAGAAATGCAGGGAGTGGCAGCCGGAAGTGCTTAGAAATGCAAGGAGAATGATGCCACGACATACAGCACGTATAGATTCGTTGCCCGAAACTCTTCAATGCCTGCAAAACAGCAGTGAAGTGTCATTTTGTCCTACTAATACTTTAAGCCTTGTAACAAGGGATATTTGTTGAACTTCAAGCCAATTATTAATCTGTTTTGAAATCACTTGAAACAGAAGCATGTGTACAAACGACAACGGGAAGAAAACTCGCCGCAATGGAAGCGTGGGCTTTATTCAAACAATGTACCAGACCAAATTTAAAATATATTTCTCCCTAAAAAACATTTTGTACACGATAGCAAATATAAAATTCCAAAAATTTAATATTGCAATGTCAGCATGAAAGACCAAAAACACAACAGGTAGGTTTTCTTAAAGCCATTCAGGTCATCAAAGGAAAAAAAAAGGTACAAAAATACATCTCTAAAGAATGCCTCACTTCTAGGAGCCAAAAACACATTTGGCAACAACAATTACATGCGTCGCCAGACGCATGCAGTGCACCACCAACATTTGTATCTCGGTACATGCATGGGACAGTTAAATCCGAGACAAATTTCAGGTTGCCGCCGTGACAACGGCGAGTGAACTGCACTTGGGCATATTTATGAAGGTACGTATAAAAATAGAAACACTCTGCTTAACCGCACAAAGGCCAGATGATTATTACACGAAAAGAGACTTGTCCGGACATGCAACAAGCATGGCAAGAGGGCCACTTACGGCAAGCCGGTGTAGTTTTTCGTACGCCGCCAATAAAAGGGAAACTAAAGGCAAATGTTCAGGAAGGCTTTACATGCCAAAGCAACAATGATTACAAACTGCTAACACATCATTTGGATGTATAACTTCCCGTTAACCTTGGTGGGTAAACACCAGTAGCACAATTGTATGCAAACGTGTCAAGTCATTGGGTTACCACTGAATTGTCCCAAAGAATGTCTGAAATTGTGTGCAAAGACTATTTTTGAACTCCATGTTTATTACTGCCTTATAGTACTACTCTACTTAATATTTGCCTTTAATGCCCCTACAAGCTGTAGAGCTATTATATGAACACATGAAGACGAAGTACACATTCTTAGCAAACTTATGTAGTTCTCCATTTTGAATATTGGGTACAATTTAGCACTGTTCTAAACAACCTCTCACACAGCAGCAATGAGAGACACTGCAGTGAAGGGCTACAAATTAATTTGCGTACCTGAACAGCTGCTTTAAAACTCATCACATAGGACTTTGTGGTAAAGCTACTCCTGAAGTATAGGAAGACAGAGCACATGTACCATTTTCCTAGCATGACTGTGCAGTTCCCAGTATGTATCGTGTATTACTGTAGCTTAATCAGAACTAGTGGTGGACAACTTATCTAAAGCTACTCTATGAATGTGCCAAGACAGACATGCATGTCTGCACAGCTATTGCCTTATCTCCATGTGCAAGTTTTATCTTTGCATAGATATCTTTGCAATATCTGCTTTAAACCAAATGGCCCATGAAAGTGTCCTGCAAAGAAAAAATTGCCCGCTAAAATACAATGGGTCTGTTGAAATGTAGCACTTGAGACTCCCTTAAGTTTATGTTGATGTATTGGGTGCTACTTGTATGTGGGTAAAGCCAAAAGAAAAAACCCCATTTCATTTACATCGTTTGAGGGGTGGTTTTTGTACCAAAGCAGTAATCGTCAATTGGCTTGCCAGCGTTACTCTAATACAAACTCTGTGCTTGCTGCTTTCTCATTAAGAATGCCATGCTACGCCGAAGTCTTGCACACCGTTCATGACGAAGAAGTGCCGAGCACATAGCTTTAATGCAAGCAAAGGCACGCAATACTGTTGTGGGACAAAAAGCTGCGAATGTTCCTAAGAGTTTGAAAGTTGGCGGATGAACCTATTAAGTAACCTTGTATGACATTCCGATACCAAACGTGTCGTTTATTTTTATACTCCACCAAATTACCATCATCCTCAACTCTCATTGGCAAGGGTAGAAGCCATTCCACTTGTAAAATTGGACGATACAAAATTTCAATAATGAAGGAAAAAGTTCCTGGCTTCGGACTGTATGAGCCGCAGTGGGTGCTCCAGAGAGCGAGCAAAGCGCCTGTTCACAAGAGTCGCTGTGGATTCAGCACACGGCAGCACCACTGCATAAACGCTTAATTTGCCTAGAAGAGTCCACCGGCAACGCTGCGCTTTTCCTCATCACATTACTCTTGAAACTTGAGCTGCAGTAGAATAAATACAAAATCCAATGAAGAATGCACGCACTGGCCAAAAGAAGCCACACGTAACACTCCTGCACCTCTTGCTTCACAGATGGTGTCCCAAAACAAATGCATGCACCGTTCTTCTCAACGTGTAATGCACTCTAGGTCGTGCAACTGTACAGAGCCAATTGGTAAGATGTACATCTAAGAAGAACAGGGAAAACTAATAAACAATAGAAAGCAGAGCGGCACTTTGTTAATAAAAGTTTGTTAACAGACAAAAAAACACCGAGACAACAATGGGTGCACATCTCTGAGAGCACCGCAGTTTCACGTCACATCCAACCTTCAAGGTCGCAATCTCATTAGAGAGAGAAAAAAAAAGAGAGAACAAACACTATAGAAGGCACGACACCCACAACCTTGAATTATTTGTTGAACTTACATGCTCCATTTCCTGTGAAGCACCTTCATTACTGGTAAACGGCAGTTCAATACTTGAGCATGCAGCTGCAGCTACAGTTTTAACACGTTAGCTGATATGTTCCGATAAAATTAGCGCGAGAAAGGCATTCAGGCTACCTGCATAGCCACAAATAGAACAGTGCCCCTTGCAAGGGTCCAGTAGAGGTCTTCAGCAGAGCATTTGAAATAGCAACGCCTGGGGAGTGGCGCCATATAATACGATCCTATAATAGGCCTAACAAGGCAGATTGAGAGCATGCACTGGAAAGTGGCACTTTCATCTTACCGAACTGCATCAGACTGTGAAATTGCATTTTATGGTCACAAACTTGCGAGCACCAAGAATCCTATGAATGCAGTCAGACGTTTTCCACCAATGGGTGCTGCACATTTTCCACTAGCAACAGTAGTTAAAAGAAAATTTGAGAAAATATTGTGCGCACACAAAATTTGTGTTCACTGCACTTTTACCAGTTTGCACACTGTCAGTCTGCTATGTGGTGTACACTGTGCTGGCATAGTACAAAAGACTTCCATGAAACGTTTAATGCTTTGTTCGTCAACATCATCAGAGTATGGCAAATGTATCTTGTCTCACAATATGAAACAAGCAATAACAAACTTTTTTAGAAAAGATCCGAGCAACACACAATTTTACGATGATGCATTCCCAAGTCATACCAACGAGTTATGTCCCATACTGAACAGCTTAAAATGCATATTCTCAAACAACTTTATGCGTCAATAAGACTAAAAAGTTACTGCATTGCTGCACAGCAGGCACTTAGGAGTTGCATGCACATAATGCAAAAATCATTGTCAAATACGGACTTTGCTATCAAAGTTTAGTGGGTAACATGACACAGACATCTGAAATATGTCAAACATGTGTACTGCACATGGAGCGATGCATGCCGTATTTATTTTTACACTAAAGTGTAGTCACGTGTCGTTACATAAACACAAGCAATGCATTCTGTACAAATGCAATGGCTTACACTCAAAGCTAGTAGTAGGAATTGACTGATGCAACTTTGACGTGTGAATGGGTAAATATTTTGTTCTATAAAAAAAAACACACAGGAAGGTTAAAAAATACAAAGCATAAAATTCTACTTAATGTCATAGGGCTCAAAGCACAAAAAGCATGCCAGAGCATTGTCCAAAACCTTACATAAAAATCGCACACATGCACAAAATGAAAACTTCTGCCATATGTGCACGTGTCACAATAATGAACAGTCCTGCAAAATTATTCCTGCAGTGAAATGCAGAATGGTCAATTAAACACTGTCGGTTAGCATATCCACATGGTCTCATTAATGGCTAAAAGTAATGGAATGCTTAGAGCAATACTAAAACCACCATAAAGCATTGTTTCAATGCTCAGAGCAACTAGTACCCAGGAGTTACACTTGCAGCTTTGATTCAAGTGGTATTAGCGTGGTCCAAAAGAGAACCAGGCTGTGTAAATACAACTTTCTTTGAACATCATGGCATTAAGCTATATAATACAAGTGAAGGATGCAATGAAAGTTCGATTACGGTCATTTCCGTGTTCTCAGATGAGACCACTATATTACGTAACTGCCACAGAACGTGCTCCAGAGCTGCATTCTTGGTTTATCACTTTCAGTGAGACTTTCACTTTTCAAGCACACTGATTAACGAGAATGTACTATGCACTCAGTGATATAAATGACGTCACAATCTAAAAATGACAGTGACAGCAAGTGCATGTGCCTACCAACTTCTTTAGTCCTGTCCAATCCCACAAAGCAGTTTCGTGCATGACAAAAGTAACAGACATGAAAGTGATAAAACAAAGATGCACTGAAGGGGTCCGCAACAAATGCACAACAACAGAGCTCTTCAACAAGAACAAGCTAAGGAGAACACTGCGCAAAAGCAGACAGAAGCAACACAGAAACAGCAGGTTGGTCGGGACGAGAAGCAAGGATGGAAGAAGCACAAACACCGCACCGCACGAAGACAATGGGACACGACCAGCGTGAGACCGGCAATGTGCGTGTGAAACTGGGGTGGGCTCGTGTGCGTGGGTGCCGCCACTGCTGCCAGAGCTGCGGCTTGTCGGACAGTGCAGTGCACCTGCCCTCACTGACCAATGCCACTAAGCCACCGAACGCAGAGAAGTGGGCTCGGGGAGAGACTGCGGCCCCAGTCACCGGAGGAACAAGCAAGAGCGCGCGTCATCATCACCGCCACTACAACGTCCCAGGACAACAGTCTTCCGGCGGCAGCGAGGAAGGGGCCTCGTAACAACGAGCAGGGCACGGCAGCGGTGGGTGGTGGCATGCCCCGCTCCGCTCGGTAATGACTTGCTAGGGTGACTGCCGGGCAGCATCAACTCCAGACGTCAGCCGAGTAGCGCCGCTGCGACTCCATGCGCTTGAGGTAAGACACTGCCTCGTCTTCAGACATGTTGCCATTCTCGCGGAAGATCTCTAGTAGGATCTCATGCACGTCTCTTGCCATGTTACGTGCATCACTGCAAGCAGGGAGGCAAAGGATGCAGACAGTCAGAGGGATGCACACATCTTTATTGTTCTCTACCTCTAACTTTCGACCTTTAGCTTCCCTATCCCTTTCCCCAGCGCAGGGTAAAAGATAACCCGGCATTAATGCACTAGAAGTGCTCAATATTGCTGTTAATGCAGTAATCAACAACTTGACAGATCTATTATAAGCGCCACCCTTCATTCTATTGTTGCATTCATTCACGCCTCTTGTACACTGTCATCTTGCCATTGTCGACAGATACTCGCCACACTGCAGGCCAGTGTGGTTCCTTGAAAAAGCCAGATATTCCTCATTCTTTCAATGCATTCTACGCAGGCACCAGAGATGAATAAAGCTTGGGTACAACAGCCAAAGAAATGTTCTCACAAATAAAAAGCTTTTTCACTCACCCACAAATGTAGAAGTGGCCATTCTTCTTGCCAATGAGGTCCCAGACCTCATCCTTGTTCTGGCGCAGGAGATGTGTCACATACACTTTGTGTGGCTGGTCTCGCGAGAAGGCAAGGTACAACTTGGTCAGTGTACCATTTGCCAGGTACTCCTCCAGCTCCTCCTGGTACAGGTAGTCTTCAGCCTTCTTGCGGCAGCCAAAGTAGAGTACCGCTTCACCCACGGGCTTGCCTGCATTGTCCACGTAGAAACAAATAGGGCATGTTTAACCAGGACAAATACATCCAGTGTGAAGTTTAGGATGCATGGCCAAGTGGAACTGTGCCAACTGCTGCCAACCACTGCATCGCAACTCTTACTGTAGTGCTGAATTATATGTGCCTGGTTTCTGCATTATTTTTGCCAGTCTACCAAATCATGACGGGGCAAAGTATTTTTAATGTAGTAATAATCGTAACAATAAATAATGTGGTTTCACATTCCAAAACCACGATATGATTACCAGGGACGCCGTTGTGGAGGGCTCTGGAAATTTTCATTTTCTGGAGTATGCGAGCCTTGAGCTTTTTTTGCCTCCACGAAAATGCGGCTGCAGCAGCTGAGATTAGATCCCACGACCTTCGGGTTAGCAGTCGAGCACCGTAACTACTACACCACCATGGCGGGCTGTATTTTTGGTCTAATACCTTTCTCCGCTACCATGTGACATGACTACCATAACAGTCATAAATAGTTGATAAACATGAACCTTGTTGATGCCCTACAGTTAACACAAAAAGAGGTTTCAATATTAAGAGAAATGAGTGCGTCTCTTGGCATTCATGGCTGTCCGTAACTGTGCAAATGAACAGCACTTCTTGAGGCACTTTTTGAGACAAGCCAGATAAATCTGCACTTAGAAAAAGAAATGCATACCCCGAGTGGCCACAACTTGCCTTCTTTGCGAAGGAAATCCCTTTCTTGGATGAAGCCGCGGAATGGCGCCAAGCCCGTGCCGGGCCCCACCATCACTATGGGAATCTGCGGCCGTGAGGGCAGCTTGAACTGCGACCGCCGCACATACACAGGCAGCGTAGGCTGAGTGCCGTTGTCGGGTCGCTTGAGTGCAAGCCAGCCTGTGGCCACACCGTGGTTTACTCGCTTGGTTGGAGTCTCGTACTCCACTTTTACAGCCGTCATGTGGATGCTGTCTGGATGCACCTGTGGTACATGAAGACACTTTCATGCACATGCTTGTAAGTTGCAAGATTGTGAGGAAAGACAGTGGTGCAATGTGCTTACTTGGTCGGACTATCATCCTGCAATAATATGCGGGTAAACGGTTAGCGTTTCAGAAGAAGTCTTCAACAAGCCCACTAAGACATACAGCTTACTTCAGTGCTAAGATACATGAAAACAAAACCCTGATAATTGCACAAACTGAAAGAAGCCTGACCATGGCCACAGAGGCTTCAGTGTCCATGCATTATCTAAAGCTGCTAGTATCGACAGCGTTCATTTGGATTGTTAATGTTCTGAAGCACCACTGCTACGTGTTGTCATAAGACTGCTGCTCTTTTATATTGTATATTGATGAACTTTCACTTGGCGCTCAGTACCCAAGCTTATGTTTTCTTTTCTTTGTCGTATGTTTGTGCTGTCAATTCCTTCTTTGAGACACATAATAACTAGCCCCCGCTTGTTCAGCATATTACAACACTTGAGTGGAAATAAAGCAATTACTTTGCACTAGCATCTCACTTCAATACTAATGACGTAACCTACCTTTGGCGACGATGATATAGAGTAGTATCGAGCCTGCAGCCTGGGCATAAGCTCCAGCAAATGGTCCAAAGGAGGACGTGCCGATGGCAGGTCCTCCAGAATGTGCACGACACTGCGGCAGTCATTCAGTACCCACTGCTTGTACAGGCTCTGCAAACAAACATGACCAGGAAGCTCTAGTCAAAAATTAGCTGAGGGGACCAGCACTGTAATAGGACCAAAATTTGAACAAGGTGGTAGTCATGGGCGTTCGAGTGGCAATGTATCCACACACCGAGGGGTAGGAGGACAAAACGCGCCGATGAAGGTCGAAGCTGCATAATCGAAAGATTATCACAGAGTTTTGAGGTCCCTCTCTATTTTGCGTGGATGCACTGCCACGTGAACATGCTCTACAGCACTTACAATAATGACAAAGAGGTTACAAAAGCCAAACCCTACATTCTCTTGAGCGTGAGGTACACTGACACACATTGCATGTTTCAACCAGACTGTATAAAACTAACAATAACATAACGTAGGCTGCAAAGTAGCTTTGATTTGCTTTCCATCTTTCCTGCTTTCAAACTATCTCTCGGTAGAGTCATGAAAAAATTGCATGGAATGATGCGAATTCAATGCACTTGTGTATCTAGTTTGGTCTAGGAGACAAAGCGCCTCCTAGATAAATTTTCAGTTGCAGTTGACATATAAAATGTCTCGGGTAAAAATTATTTGGCATTTCTAGAAGCTCAAGCTCTTCATTGCATAGTTACTTAACATGTAATATTATTAGGCTTGTGCGAATATTCGAATAGTTCAAATATTCGAACAAATATTAGTGTTTGAATTCGCTTCAATTCTAATTTCAACAATTGAAAATTTCAAAGTATTCGCAATGAACAAATAAATGTATATCATACCGCATGTAACTGCCTCTAAAGGTCGTTTCACTGCGGTGTAAGAACACTAAGCCGTGAAAGCACCTTCACAGGAGAAATGCCAGGAAGCCCCCTTCAAATTTAAATGGACTCCCTGCAACACTTTTTGAGCATAGTCAGAAAACGCTGCCGTTCAGCAGTCGAGGCTACCGAGAAAACGCGAGCCGAATGTTACAGCGCAGCACGCGGCCTTCAATTCACAACAAGTGTCAAAGTCGGCTAAAAATTGCTCTCTTCCCTCAACAAATGACGCCACAAGTTCAAAAATCGGTGGTCACAGCCATTGCATCAGCCATGGGCATGGCAGACTCCGTCATTCCTGGGACCGCCACTTGTCCACGCGTACGCGCGCATTCGCACTGAAAAGCCCTAAGAACGAGAGAAGAAGTGTCGGAGGTTACGAGGCCCACGTGATCTCCACCCCCCCCCCCCAGCACTTTCGTTGGGACGGGAAGAAGAGCAGCGTGCAACAAATCTTTGGAACTCCGCTGGTACTAGACGGATTCCAAGAATGTTTGCGTTGGTTAATTTGCGAGGAAGCAAGCTTCTTTAGTGAATCCATTTCATGATTACTTTCAAAAGTGTTGCAGGGCCCCTTTAAATGAACCTATTGCCCTCAAATCAATTCCTCATTTTATTAAGCTAGCTTAAAAGCTTGTTATGATGGCTTATATGCTATATGTATCATAAATTTTAAAATGTGTGCAATTCACAGGTTATCATCTCGCATTCCGCATTACCAAAAGTAAAATCGCGCTACTACTCGAAATTATTTACACTTCTTTTGGATTAAAAAAAAAAGGCCATTTGCATAGAGGCTCCATTTCAATTGAAAAAAAAAATATTGTGCAGGTTAGTTAGGTCATGATAAATATGCCAATTTTTCTTCAGATGTCCTATATACTATTTGAATTTGATTGGAAGTTATTTGACCAAAATTAGTATTCACTTCAAGTTCGCTTCGAACCAAACATTCACTATTCGCAGAAGCCTTAACATTATGTATTGTTTTCATTAAATTTGCCACAACTGTGCATGCAGAAGAGCTCAGCTGCAACTGTTCCTTCAAGGTACCATGATTGTACAGGTAGTAGCCAGCAATCCCTCTGATCCCACATTTAGATCCTTAAGCAAAACAAAATTTTCATTGCTCAAGGTTTACCTTTCCTTCATCTGAAGAAGAGCTCATCAACTTCAGCATTTTCTTCTCCTCCTCGTTGGTGGCATACTCGGAAATTTCCTTCAAGACGTGTGTCCTAGGGGGAGTGGTGATGTCGACGTAGTACAGCAGTGCGGTTCTATAACTACATGGGCAGGGAAATGGATGCTTCTTGGAGCTGTCCTCTGAAAAGCAAAGTACGGCACAAATGACCGAGTAATCCTTAATTTGTCCTTCTCTGGTCCCAGTTTTACACGGTGCTCTTGTTTTTACCGCAGTTGCCAGCATACCGAAATCACTACACTCCTTACTAATGTGACATATTTACTCAAGTGTAACATGACTACAATTGTAATGAGAGGAGTGACTTTTCAATGTGTGCTGGAAGAAAAAAATTAAACATAAAAAAGTTTGTGCATCACTGCACTTTTTTAGACAACTTGAATTTCGGTATTCCATTGTAATGCGGGAGTGAACTTCAGGTAGCAAAAATCTAGCAGCGCAACGGCGCATTGCCAGAGCCACTCTCGGAGGCTACAGCTAGATGATGTGATGTATTGATGTCTTAAATACGTTAGAGCCCCCCCTCCCAAAAAACATCAGTTTCACAGCATGAGCAAAGCAATAAATGCTATAGCAGCAAATTGTAATGTTATATGAATACGAAGTAAGGCTGGCAGCTAACTCTTTTTGGATCCAGTATTGCATAACTCTAAGAAAAGCTCTTAGAAGGGGATACGGCCACTCCACAGAGAAAAAATGCCCTTTTCCCACCTGTTTCATAGCATTGATAGCGCAGCACGTAGAAGGGTATAAGAGCTGTGCGCTGATGCTTGCTGAGATGGCGTGCTCGCTAGCGATCGCAACCGCGCCATTACAATCAAGGCTCACAAATGCCACTCAAGCAACCCCCTTCCCCCCAACGTCGTTTCATAGTGGTTAGGGATGAGAGGGGCATTTCACCTCTGCTTGAGCATTGAACAGCAGGTCTAACACGTGTTCGGTGTCATCGTGTGCACCCTTAGAGCGATGGAGATGGGCTAGCACATTTGATCTCCGCTTCAGCAGCGCTTGCTCATTATTCCCAATCGTGCACATTTTTCCATGGGTATAACTCACGATGCGCGGCGGATGTTGTTAATTTAGACTTCATACGAAACAGGATGACAAAAACTTGTCGAGAGTGTCCATATAATTGCTATCGCAATAATAACAGTTCTCTGTACACTAAATAAATGTTTTGGGTGAGCTATGCCATCAGTTCCCCTTTTATTCAATTTGTTTTTCTCTTTCGAATTTTTTAGCTGAAACTGCATATCGTGAAAACCCGTTTATAACAAATTTCTGGGGGGAGTTTGTCAATTTTGTTATACCCAGGTTTAACTGAACTCTGAACTGGCATCCTGCACAACTGGACGCAGCCAAAAATAAAGGAAATGATGCCACAGGGAAACTCTTTATTCGGCCCAATACCTTCCGCACAAAGAAGCTACACCACGGCAAAACAACTGCAGGAAAAGCTTCATAACAATTACTGAATCCACACAAATGCTGAAATGAAAATGAATTTCAAGCATACTCAGGCCATCGTATTACTATGCAGGACTCCTCTGTATTGTGCACACATTTTGCTTACTTCTGCATGCAAGCAATTTTAACGAACAATGAGAGTAAAGTGCTTGAAAATTTCACTTTTCAAAGCAGCATACATAAGCTAAGACTGGGCATAAGCTAGCTGTTCACGTAGCAGTTATTTCAGCTTACGTACCATCAAGGTTTTTCAGTGTGATGACTGTGTCCAAGTCCACCTTGAGCATTTGTCCTAGGTTCTCCACTATGGCGATGTCATTCATCGGATAGACGGCCACGTGGTCACCAGCATCATACCTTGAAAAGAAAAAAGTTCATCACAAGCGTCAAAAAAGCCAGAATCATGCATCACTCCAGTTTGACAGCTGCTTACACGTTAAACTTCACTTTTAACTTTGAAGTCTTATCGTAGCATCCCCTCAATGCTGACATGATATCAGTGTTGTTAGTGTGAATTAAGAAAGCTGAAATGCTCGGTTAAAGCATTTTTGAATATATGCATGTAGACTTAACCAAATACTGGCCTAAGCACTTGTGGAGCACCATTCAATCCATGAAAAGCAATGAAAAGAAAACATTAGAAACTCTGGAGTACAGATCGGCAGAATAGGTCTAGACAGGCAGTCGTGTTAACTTTCCAATAACTTTGCTGCAGGCTAATGTGCAAACACATTTGCTTAATAGCATTTCTACTACAGTCACTTCCATTTTAAACTTAGTAGCAGGCACATTCAAGCTCATATTTGTATCCCCTGCCATTTACTGGCACTCACTCTTCAAGATTTTAATGCCAACTTACAGTAATTTACACACACTCTTTCATAATTACACCCATTTAAGCTCTTGAGCACTCGCTGTGTTCATGCCTACACACACTCTTTTGACAACCAATGAAACTGTACGTCACATCAAGCGGAAATGCAAACAGGCAGTGTGTCAAATCTACTGGTGCGGGAGTGCACAGATTACCGTAAAAACTCGCGTATAGGTCGGACACGCACTTAGTCCAAGGTGCACTTCAGGCACAGCAAATAAGGGAAAAAAAAGTTCTCACCCGAATAAAAACTGAGAAAAACAGAAGGATACATCTATTTATACTCAATTACTCATCGTCGTCTGACGAGCTCTTAAGCGAAGCTCCCTTGTCGGATATGTCCTCCCACAGCGCCTTGTCTTCAGTGCCATCGAGGGCGTTTGAGATAGAGCACTTTATTAACGAACAACAAATGACCTCCTCGGGAATGCAGGCCCAAGCCTCGGTGACCCACGAGCACAGCATCGCTGGTGAGGCTTGCGTCAGTCGTTTGGCAGGGGCTACTTCCGGCTCTCTAGACCTAATTCACTCCATATACAGGCACTTGATGTGGTCCTTATTGAGACACACATCAAGCAACTGCAGCTGAGACGTTATCCCTTCGGGGTGATGACGAGCTCAGTGCAGGAGTCGTGCAGCAACCACTCCACGGAGTCCGTCAGATGACACCGAAATGCGTCGGCCACAAGCATAAATGGGAACCCTAGCCTGTCGACACCACACGGCCTTGATCCAGTCAAGTACGAGCGATTCATGCATTCACCCCTAGTCCTGGCAGTGGACGACAACATTTTTTGGGCACTTCTCCCCCTTCGGCAGCGTCTTCCATTTGAACATGACGCAAGTTGAACATGCGCCCATGTGCCGTGCAGGCCAGCATTTAAGGGGGCAGACTGCTCTTTGGGACCAAAAAGTGACAAATATATTCATTTTTTAAAATTGACATATTTGGTTTTTGCAAGTATTTTTCTATCTCTCTGCAAATTTTCACGCACCAAGAAGTAGTAATTTTTTTGTAATGTCATTTTAACTGTCCAGATTCTTGGTGCTGTTAACATGCAGAATCTGCAAAAAAAATGGGGAACCGACTTTGAGGCTTCTTTATAATTTGCCAGCCCCTTTCTCTAAAGCTCTACTACAAATTTATGAGCACCTTCGTGAGGATTGCTAAACATGCGCACCATGATCGTTGCTTTTTGAAGAAACTGTGTGTTTTCAGTTTTTTCCATTTTTCTCAAAAAAGTAAATTTGTGACTATTCAATTTTGAGGCCTCAATATCTCTGCAGCTAGGGCAGGTACAGCAATATTTCTATTTGCAGTGGAAACCTGTATGTGTGTAGAATGCAAGTATGGGAGCAAAATTTAGAGCACATGCCTGTTTAATTAATTACTAATCAAAAATGTAACACAATTCCAACTGCTTTTGAAAATGTATAGTTCATTTTGCTGCAAAATAAGCAATAAAGGTCTAAAAACAAAAACCTCTTCCATACTTTCACTCTATAGTCGTTAGTCTATGTTGGCATGTCCTAAATATCACTTTTAATTAAGCACTTTTTTTTCTATGGTGGCCTTAAACAATAGGGAGTGAACTTAAGTTATCTCAGCAACAAAGTGAGTTACAGGAAAACTAATTACTATTTGAAATCAGCAGAAAAAAACTGTATAACCCTCTGAAAGCCCACAAGCAACTCCTCGTAGTTTTCTGGCAGCTTCTGTGATTATTGACGTACGCCGCCGTAGGGAAAATCCAGCGTGGCGCATGTAGCGGGACACTCAATGCTTGCTCGCCTTGAAGATCACCTGCTAATACCTTGATCTCGTGCAAATCTCCCTTGTCTTTGCTTGCAGCAGCTCGATATTGACAACGAGTAGTGCAGCCAGCTACTCCCGAACGAAGTCCGCCAGTTCTTGTTCCACGCCAGGAAAAGCTCCATGTTTAGGACCTCGAAAAACTTCTTTGCTGGTCGCTGCATACAAAAGAGGGCTTCTTTCTGCTTTCTTCAGCCGCGAATGGACCACTCATCCACGCCTAACTGTCACCCTGCAGTGCAATTACCGATGGTTTTAGCAGTTAAGATAGCCTTTCTTTTGAAGGCAGCCGAATACTGCCTCTACAGAGCTGGCATGGCATAAAGTTACAGAGCTAAAACCGTAGTCGTCGTTACGTGCGCCAAGTCGTTGCGATGGCCACTGTTGCATGCCTGTAGCACCTGTAGGACTAATGCCACTAATGCTACAACACTACCTACTGCAGAAGTGTGCAGACACCTGATAATGATCATAGCACCGCGTATTGCCAAAACCAAAACAATGAATTCTGGGCGAAAATTCTTGGGATCTGCATATAGTGCAGGGCAGAAATTTTGCATAGCAATACGGTATCTATAAAAAAAAAAACGGACTATACAGGAGTTTTTACAGTAAGATTGCTTAGAAGTACATTAAAAGACAATGTCAAATGTGACAGCTGATATATAGCAACAGAGACTGCGAGAAAGGCCTCACCTCATTTTGGAGCCGGCAATGCTAATCTCAATGTGCATGCATGAGCGAGAGCCTTTGTATAATTCCTTGTGCACTCGAACAGGAGCCAGGAATGGGTTCTTTGCATCAAAGGGCCTGTAGAACGATGAGAAGTAAACGAAACGGTACTTAGTTGGGCTAAAAATCAAGCAACATAGTCCCATGGTAGCAAACAGTGCGAAAAAGAAGACAGACCCAGAGGAAGAAAAGACAAGATCAAGGGCTTGTTCTTGTCTTTTCATCCTCTGGGTCCGTTTAGTTTTTTGTGCTGTTTGCTACCATGGATACATACCAACTGGCTCAGCTATCTACACTTTTGAAAACAGTCCCACTCGATAGTGCTAACAAAAAACTTAATTCAATTGCCATGAGGTGTTCTGGAAAACAGATTAGTGAACTTTTCAGCAAGAGTACTTCATAAAACTTTTTTTGCAATGTGCGGGAACAAAGGTCATCGCATGTCTAAGCCAACACCTACACATAAGCGAATTGTGTCACCGCTTTCCTCGTCCTTAGACTCCCTATTCCAACGGTACCAGTTGTCACTGATATTTACCGCAAAATAGCACCACTTCAGCTAAGCGTAATGCCAGCTCCTATGCAACTTGCTCAGGAAAGTGTGACACAATTATAAAGATATATTTTTTGACAAAGTGGGGCTTCAAGGGACACTGAAAGTCGAGTAAAAAATTTATGTCAGAGTGAAAGCTCAATTTATGTCATTTGAAACAACAATATTATCAACAGCAGTGCCCTCCTACTTACTGAGAAATGAAGGTAAATGCATGAGAACACATGTGCCACCAGTAGGACATTTGCGAAATGATCCCAATCACATCAGACTTACCGCCTACAATTAATCGCAAGTAATCGAACTAGCTGCACTAAATTGAGAACCTTTCGTGCATCAAAAGATTTGATAAAATGCTGCTTGTTCGTTTTTGTTTGATTCACAGAAAAAAGAACGGCCAGACGTTACTATGGGGAATGGCGTGAGTGGTTCAAAAGTTCAATTTTCCCCTGGTTAAACTGAACGGGTAGTGCCACCTAGCGTTGCCCAGTTGAACCAAGGCACACCTACTACTCGGAGGCCATAGCTAAAAAATGCTCAATGGCCACTGTTGCTGCTGTGGCACCCACTACTTTCGCTTGCTGTGAGTAGTGTCGGCAGCCGCGCAGTAATGCTGGGCAACATTGAGCACGGCAACAGTGACGTGAGACGGCCACTTTCCGGCAGCGGATTAGAAGTGCGCTAACATGATGCAGACCACTAAAACACAATTTTATTTAAATATAAGCACTTCCTTGGCCCAAAAGTAGCACTACCAGGTTTGTGGACCTCTATTACAGCAATCAACATAGACTTAAAGGGACACTGAAGTCAAATAAGAATTTACGTCAGAGTGAAAGCTCAATGTATGACAACATATAAAACGACAATATTATCAACAGCAGTGCCCTATTTACTGAGAAATTGAGATAAATGCACAAGAATACATGCGCTGCAGTAGGACATTCTCGAGATTATCCCAATGACATCAGACTGAACCTCCTACAATAATCACAAGTAATTGATCTGGCTGCACTAAATGAAGAACCTTCCATGCATCCAGAGACACAATAAAATGCTGCTTGTTCGTTTCTGTTTGATTATTGGAAAAGAAAACCAGATGTTATGGGGAATGAGGAGAGTGGTTCGAAAATTCCATTTTCGCATGTTTACACTGGGCACGTCATGCCGTCTAGCGGGGCGCAGTTGAACCAAAACACATCTGCCATCTCGGAGCCGATGGCAGGAAATTAATCAATCGCCGTTGTTGCTGCTGTGGCTTCCGCTGCTTTCGTTCTGCTGCTACTAGTGGCGGCGGCCTTGCAGTGAAACCGGGCAATGTTGTGCATGACAACAGTGACGTGAGATGGTGTGCTTATTGAGGCGGGCAATTTGAAGTGCGCTAACTCGATGCAGCCACTAAAACGTTATTTTATTTCAAAATAAACCCTTCCTTGGCGCAAAAGTAACACCTTGAGGTTTCTGGACCGCTATTTCAAAACATCCAACGTCGACTTAATATTTGCTTTAATGTCCCTTTAAAGTGAATTCCTTAGCTGTCACAGTCATACCAGTGGCCTATTTGCAGAAATGCACATTGCATTTCACAATGCAATGACGGCCAAAAACAGAAAAGTGTGATGCATCACATTCTTGAGTCGGCTCATATGAATTAGCCTATGTTGACTTTTTGTTTTTCTGTAATCAGCACAGCAAGTTTCTGAATTTATCAATCAGTAAGTGCGAACAGCAGGTTTTAGAATACAGCTAAATTATTAAAAAATCTGCATTTACATTGTGGTTAATATGTATTTATGCCATTGACCTTAGTTCTACTGGTCAATAATTTACAAATGACAAATGGAATGTACAGTGAAACCTCATTAATCGGAAGTTACTGAGGCCACGAGAAAGCTTCAAATTAAGCGGGTTTTCAAAATAACAAAACATACAAGAAGTGGGATGCAAGGAACTTAGAACTAATCAAAGTAATCAGTGCTCTTCCTTTGCTGTGCCGGCCAGCTTGCGGCTCCAAAGGTAATGTTTTCGAGCAATACCTGGTCTTCATTTTGCCGAGTACATGGAAGAACTGTGGGCTTCGCTGCTGCTACCGAAAAAAAAAAAAAAAAACGCGGCCGTGATTAACTGAAATGTGCGCTTGCTGAAAACAAGACATCTTGACTACAACACAGTAGTGACATGCGGGCAGCATGTAGCCTGCTTCTCGCTCCGTCAGCACGTCATGATGCGACTATTCGCACATTTCTTTCCATTATAATTATTAATTTATGAATGGCCAGTATGACAAAGCTCTTGGTGTGTTTTGGCTGGAAAAAATGATCTTTGAATCTTTAGAACTTAGTTTTCGAAGTAGGTGTTGCTGGCAAGAACTCCGCCAGCAGTGCGAAGACGCGAATTGCTGGAGCGACCGGCAATCGGAGCTTCGCATACATCGTGATTTCCACTAAACTGTCCTTTATTAATTTCTTTACGATCCCAGAGAGAATGGGTAAACCATGACCCGCTGACGTTGCGAAAAACATGCGATAAGCTGCCCGCCTGTCACCACTGTGTTGCAGTGAAGCACAGCTCGTTTAGCGCAGGCGCACGTTTCGGTTGACCATGAGACGGTTTTCTTTCTTTTTCCTTTTTTCTTTTTGCGCTGGAAGTAGCGAGGCTGGGGTGCTTCAGCAGCCACTCATTAGTATTGATACGTTGTATTGCCTTGTGGCTATTAATAGCCGTCGTTCCACGGATTCGCGGCGAAATCGGGATCTGGAACTGGCACATGGCACCCAAAGTTTTCTAATTAACCGAAACTGGTGCTTGCTACCGCTTCAAACTATCCACTCAAACTTACATTGCAAAACATGGGACCAGCGGAAATCCTTTGAAGTAAGCGGGATTTCGAAATAACAGTTCGTATTGACAAGGTTTTACTTTATTACGTCACTTGAAAGATAGCAATGCATTTTCTAGTGGTCTAAATTCATTCCTGCGTTTGTGTCACTTTCCAGCACACAAAACTGCTCAATGCCATACAAATGTGTTTGAATGCCAAATTACCATTCACTAGTCAAGTTCATCCACTAGAGCAGGCACAACTGCATGTAAAATCATTATGAGCACACAGAGTTAACGTGGAAAAGGCAAGACTAACTTTCCATGGCTAGCCGACATAAAAAAACGTCACATCATCAAACAAGCAAACACTACTTGCATTTTCTGGGTGGTGTACGAGTTGAGGCGCGAGATCTCTCCATGAAAGACCTTTTCAGATGGAAGATCAGTGTGCACAATGAGCTGGTACTGGCGGAGGTTGATATCCTCGCCAGAGATCTCCAGGTGGAAGTTTTCACAAACGGCATTCCAGAAGCGCTCCTTCCAGGTCACGAAGTCTTCCTCAATGCTGCAGTAATAAGTCCGTAGTCAGCATGTACAAGAATTTGGCTACCAGTTGCAATGGGCCTCTTCAATTCTTACAGGTAGGCACACTGCTCACTTTCTCCAATGCATTTCAAAAATGTCCACAAGCCATAATAGCAACAATATACTACGGAGCACATATGTGACTAAAGCTTCTCCAGAAAACCCCCGACTCAAGCAAACTTGAACAAGCTAGTTCAGTCAGAGACTCGAGTCTTCTGTTATTGTTTTTTTTTAAATCCTCACCGGAGTCCATCCAAAACAAAAGCTATCATTTTATGCTCAATGGTAAATTTCACAAATAATGTGTGGCCACTATGAAACAAACCCTTGACCTCCCTCCCTCATCTTCATTGATGCAGCAAAGCGTCTCCACTTACGTTATTCCATAAGATAATTCACAATGAGCAACCAGAAAACATACATTTGGCACATGAGATTGTTTCACGACTCATTTCTCCTCAAACAACAAAAGGCTAAAACCGGATGCCTATCTGCAGTGCCACAATCCATAAGCATAGCACACTTAAACCAACTACTGACGACTGGTTCTTTTCTCTTCAAACCATATTTGATTACTTTATTTCATGTTTCTCATTGTTTCCTGAATTGTATTATTGCATGCCACTTCTGCAATTCCCTCAAGTTCTGAAGGTGTAGAAATTAACAAAACCAATACGAAGGTATGTAAATAAACACATGAAAACTCACTTAGCATCATCATCTCCGAGGCCCAGCTCAAAAACACGTGTGGCTCCCAGTTCCTCCATGCGCTTGTCGACGTACTTGCCCATCGCATTGAAGTGCTCGTACGTCTTGTTTCCCAACGCAAACACCTGTTGACAGCAAAGCGTCGGTCACGTTGCGATGACACGCCACATTTTGTTTGAGTGTTTAGAGCAAATGAACAAATGCAGACAAATGAAATCACTGCTGGTGATTAATCGGTGTGAAGTAGCAGCCCAATGAAAAGAATGAAACTAGCCGATATTACTAAATATCTTTTTAAATTGTTCTCGTACAACCTAACAAGTTCAGGGAAAAAAAGGAATTATGTGTTTTTATGGATGAGTGCGACATGGGCATATAGTAAGGGTCATAACTATTGCGGTTTTGGTAATCACGTTTTGATAGTTACGTACGAAACAAAGTGGAGTGAAGCATTATCTACCAAGTGCTCATATATTTTTGAAGGTCCTCGATATTAAGCAATATGCAAATGCAGATGAACCCGCAAATATCAAACCCACATATATAACCAATTATAATCCCCTTGAATGTATTTATGTCATAAAATATCTTATATACCAAATTATCTATATAGAGAAATTCTCTCTGATCCACTTCAAATTTGATATACTACTATACAGACTCAAACGAATTTTAGCAAGTTCAATTCAAATTGGCTCAGTGGCTGTCAAAATGAGCAAAAATTTTTTTGCTTTACATTACTTCAATGGGAATGAATAGAAATTAGAAAATATTGGCATTCACATTGCAGTATGCAAAGACAGTTTGAAGCTTTATAAGCTTAATTTATTGCTTGTCCAAAAGATTCACAGTTCTGTTCACAGCAACTGCCTGCCTGTTGATAGCCCACAGAACCAAATTGTTTCAGTGATGATAATATGTGGGGTTTAACGTCCCAAAACCACCATATGGTTATGAGAGATGCCGTAGTGGAGGGCTCCGAAAATTTTGTCCACCTGGGGTTCTTTAACGTGCATCCAAATCTGAGCACAGGCGCCTACAGCACTATCACCTCCATCGAAAATGCAGCCGCCGCAGCCGGGATTCGATCCTGCAACTTGCGGGTCAGCAGCTGAGTGCCCTTAGCCACTAGACCACCGCGGCGGGTCAAAAACAGTTTCAGTCAGTACAGCGTGCACATATGTAGTCTGCAAGTACGAGCAGTTAATAAAAAATGAGAATCATGCAAGAGCATTCATCCTGCCACCACTGCTCCTACAACAAACCAGCACTACCCTGTCAGTGGCCCAAGTTGTGGTTTGGTGCCAATTTGACAATTAATTTGATCTATGTAGCAGGTTGTGGCACTATATCAAGATCTATGAATCCCCACGCATGTCTGTAAAATCGCTTGCCACAAGTATTTGTCGTGTTATACTTCTATTTTGTACAATTCGAAACCTCTTCTTGACTGAAGATGCATCTACTCCAATAGAGTTCAAATTAGCAAGGTTTTACTGCAGTGGTTTCTTTTGTAGCTTCTTGTACTAATCACTATTTTTACGAGGATGTGGAATAAAATGCTTCTAGCAAAAAGAAAAAAAGAAAGAAAAAAATAAATGGATGTGTTTGCACCATCTATTCTACATGTATTATGTTCCCTTTAAGGGGGCAGACTGGTCTTAGACAGTTTTTGTTTATTTCTTCAGTGATCTTGATCAAACTGCACAGGATTATGCAGTTTTTCCTGCTGATTTCAAATATTTAATTAGTTTTCCTATAACTAATCTTGTTTCTGAGATAACTTAAGTTCACACCCTATTGTTTAAGGCCACCATAAAAAAAGTGCTTAATTAGAAGTGATATTTAAAATATGCCAACATAGACTAATAACTATAGATTGAAACTATGGAAGAGTTTTCTGTTTTAAGGCCTTTCTTGGTTATTTTACAGCAAAATAAATTATCCATTTTCAAAAGCAGTTGGAATTGTATTACAATTTTGATGAGTAATTAATTAATAGGACTTGCGCTCTGAATTTTGCTCCCATACTTGCATGCTACACACATACAGGTTTCCATTGAAAAAAAATTGTTGTACCTGCCCTAGCTACAGAGATGTTGAGGCCTCAAAATTGAACAGTTGTAAATTTACTTTTTTGAGAAAAATAGAAAAAACTTAAAGCACACAGCTTCTTAAAAAAGCAACAGTCATGGTGCGCATGTTTTGCAATCCTTATAAAGGTGCTCATAAATTCGTAGCAGAGCTTCTAACACAGGTGCCGGCCAATAATTACAAGGAAGCCTCAAGGTCGGTTCCCCATTATTTTGCAGGTTCTGCATGTTAACAGCACCATGAATCTGGACAGTTATAATGACATTACAAAGAAATTACTACTCACCCGGTGTGTGAAAGTTTGCAGAGAGATAGAAAAATACTTGCAGATACCAAATATGTCAATTTTAAAAAATGAATTTTTTTGTCAATTTGGTCCCAAGGACCAGTCTGCCCCCTTAAGAACGACAATTCCTATGTCATTGGTATATAGGAGCTTTTTTCAGCTTCACATTTAAACCCGAACTTCTTGTAAAGCCAGCAGATGTTTTCTTAAAACTTGCATAAACAAAGAAATGCAGTTTCACCCACAAGTCAAAGCCTTAATTACAATAGCAAAGTGTTACTGCAGTCACAAAAATTATTCGTAGTCTTATTAACAGCCATTTGTATTGCATTAAACATTTGCTTGCCAATTGAACTTGAGCATGGTGCAATACAGGCACAGGCAAACATAAGCAAGTATCAATCTAAAAACAAGGACACAAACTGTTGCAATGTTGGTGGGATGGACAGTAGAAATACAGCCGAGTAAAACCAAACAGTTATGAACTTCAAGTTTTCAACACATCTCCAAAACACTGATAAAAATGCTAGATGCACGGGAAAACAGCGCAAATGAATCCACCAGCCCTCTTGGCTCGCCCCAAAACTTGCCTCAAATGCAGGTCACTGACAAGCAATGCCATATAAGTCGCCTATGCACTCGGCTGCGCAGAGAGCTAGCCACCCCAGCTTGACTAGCTAGAGAGAAGACGCTGCACTCACATGAAATTTCGCATAATACAACAGGCTCTCAATAAATAGGACCTACAGGTACCAAGGAAATACGTTCCATAACAGGAGTTCCATTCGTTCAGACAGACAAACAGGGGTCCAGAATTCAGATATAATACCAATTGTATCTGGTGCAATTGTTCCATTTCTATTCTATTTGGCTCTTTATTAGGTCCCATTTAAAGAGCCGTTTTAGTACAACAAAACGTGCCAATATGAAAGATCCCAGCAAAAAACATTTTTCAATGCTTCCCAGCGCTTCCTTTTTCATATATACTTAACCATCGGCTTCATTCAAACTTAAGGCTACTGCAGACCGACCGGCAGCAACCAGGTGGCATGACAGCACACGGAAACCAACAGCGCAATACTCACTGCATAATTGACTCCAGGCAGGTCAACGCTGCCATCCTGAAGCCACTGGTAAAAGTCTTGCGCATTGTCTGTGGGGTCACCTTCACCGTACGTTGCCATACAAAAGATGGCCATCGAATTGCTGATCTCTGGCAGCTTGGTCAGGTCCTCCTGCATACAGATGTACACAATGCAAGAGTGTTCCTCGTAATGTGTGCCGCGTTGCTTCAATGCTTCACCGTTAAACACAAGTATGAAATCTTTACGTTTGCACATCCATGCAACAAGAAAAGCATAGGCTTGGATTTGTTCCTCTGGCTGACAGCGAGAAAGCCAAGGTGAGATGCTAAATTTTCAGAACCTATTCATAGTGTTGCACACAACCAAGAAACAGACGATCATCTATGCTCATTAACAAAAATATCAGCGTTTGAACTTCTGAAAGTGTACAGCAAGCAAAGATGTAAGCAGATCTACAGCTTCAGTCACCTTCACGTGTGAATGACAATAAAATTTTTGCCGAAGCATCTAAATTACCAAGCATGGTTCTAGGACACCCAGCATTACATTCAAAGCAATGCTATGTTTTATGCGAGTTTCAAGAGAAGTAATATTGATTGATGGCCTCAGTTTCCCAAGAGCGCGACACTCTACCTTACAGACATGATGGATCCAATTCTTCGACCAATATGACCCTCTGGCTATTACTGCGCTCTCCTGTTGGTGATAGTCCTGTTTGCAGTAACACCCCGATACTTAACACGACAGCGTTGCCACCAGCCTTGGGCAATGACCTCAGTGCTGTGTGACGTCTGCGGCAATCACCCTGACCCAGTGACACAAAGAGCCATGCAGGCGACAAGACCACTTGAGCCAGTTAACCCCATCGAGGTCAATCAAGGCAGGGGAAAAAATAAAAATAAAACAGCCACCATTGCCCCTAACACAAACAGCTGTTGCTGCCAAGTATTATGGAGCCGGACGTGGCGGCAGCAACAAGTGTTGTCACAAGGAAAGAGTCAGAGATTTGCGACTGGAATTTTCCAGACGTCACTCTCTGACGTCACGTGAAAGACACACAAATGTCTGATGCCACTCTCAAGAGGAGACGTGGCAATTAAAACTTTTTTTGTTACTTGTCGAGAAAGAAAGTTATGTTGGCACGCAGACGTAATTTTCCATGCTGATATCATAGCGAAAATCGGTTCTGAACTATCCATTGCAGTTTTTTATTTACAAAACTTGATGGGATATGTCATCTCCAAACTAATATATAAATTATACATGTGTCCAGATTTTTGCGTAAGCACATCCACATGGGCAGTTCTATGCCGTAAAGCTATTGGTGTATTTATTAATATTCAAGTAAACAAAAAGATTTCAAAATGTTCTCTGCATGTTGCCTCCCCAAGAACATTTACAGAAAGCTAATTATAAAAATCCATATGATTTGCACACAAATGTTGACAACTTTATTGTACTAACTAGTGTTCCAAGATCTAAGTGCTAGCGACAGAATTGTTTCATCTTTATTTGTAGTGCAGTGGCACAGCAATGATTGACAGCAACAGCACAAGAAATGAAAGCTGACAATATAGAGCTCAAAGAAAACTGAAGAGCTTAAAGCTAAGTAAACAGAAGTCATAAGAGAGCTGGTTATATTGTTCCTTGAAGAAATTCAGCTGCTTGGCTACTTTGAGCTCTGATATCTCCTCTTTATGATAATTCCTTTTATGTAAGCTAGTGCCTCGACTGTTGTACAGTTGTTTGTTTATTGAAGAAGTCCAAGAGTTAGTTTACGGCTCAGTGTTCCTTCTAGCTTGCAAGCACTCTGGCAAGAATACATAGGGTGTGCATAATTATTGGAACTTGTTCAGGAATATTGACAGCTATACTCAGACTCACCATTTCACACTCCTCAGGGTCAGCAACCATTGCTTTTAGACCAAATCTGTTGGCTTCTTTTGCAAGACGAGCAGCAAACTCTTCCGCTGTGCCCGTCTGTGATCCGTAGAATATGACAATATTCCTACCCTGCACGGAAAACAAAGGAAAGCCGTGAAGTCCATTAAGATACTCAGGAAATCCTAACAGAGTATGTCTTCTAGCATGTCTCGACAATTTTTACGAACATACAGCAACAGGGAATGCAGAAGTAGCTTTTATTCTGTTAATTCAGTGGCACCAAACTTGATTATGTTTGATGAGGCGCCCCAGATGTCAAGCCTGAGACTAGGCATGTAGGGAAAGGCATTTTCGCTCCACTAACGTCATCAGGAAAATGCATTGGAATGCCGCTTACCCTAAGGTGGTGCTTCTTGCCCACATTCCCGGTTTAGGTTCCCCACGGCACGTAGAGAAGAGCGTTTCTGCTCCGCTAACGCTGTCTCCCATTTGTTTGGCTAACTGCTGCTTTCTTTCATTTTTAGTGGACCAGTAGCCAAGTGGTGAGATTTACCCATTGTGGCGAACACCCATTTCTATGATAAACCGTCACTACATGACACAGCGACGATCGGAGATGACGACAAGCCTACCCCTTATGGTGCCTCGCAACTAACAGACCATTATAATGTTTACAACTCTGAACCTGTACAATACAAAACCATATCACACTTCTGCAAGCTGCACATGAGACAGCAGTATAGCGGAGAAAACTATGCCTTACTTGCTTCTCTAAGATATATCAGTCCTTTGTGGGTGGCACTTTTCCAAAATCCGCGGGAGCAACATAATTACACATACTACGCTGTTCAAACTTGTAGATCAACTTGATAATCACTTGGGATAACTCACAGATGCTGCTTGTGCTAGCGTGATATTTATTTTTACTGTAGCTGCAAACATTTACACTTTGTGCTTAGCTATTCCTATACTTTCAGATTTTCAGCAATATGCAAAGTTTAACATCAAAGGGAAGTCCAATTAACCCATGTTCCACCATTTAAATGACGTCAATGCTTGCAAAGGTGCCATGGAATTATCAGCTGAAAAGGTCAGAAGCTAATTAAGAGTGGATTGATTTCACGTCTTATTTTCCAGGTTAAGGGTAAGCGGCAAAATAAAGCGCCATAAGAAGATGTTAAAACAAGACTGAAAATTACTGCAAATAGATTAAGAAAAACTAAACTACATGATATAGTCAACAAAGTGAACCAAACGGCCTTAAATGAGCACTTTAGTACATGACATGATTTATTTTCAGTAAATGCAACTTACCGTTGATTTCATCTTTCCAATAAAGCTGGTGTTGTCAGCCTTCTGTATACTTGTTCTGTAAGAGAGAGAAGTGAATGCACACGAATAAGAACAATGCACAAAAACAGAAAACTTCAATGAGCATAGAGTACTGGATACCTTCCAGCACTATAAAGAAATTGTATCATAGAGAATGGACATTTTAAACTTTAATAATCCTTCATGCATTTTTTCGCTAATGAGAATATAACATTAATACTCACAAAAACATTTTGAACTGATGAGCTTTTACAATGCATACATGCGTAGGACATGAATAAGAAAACATAAGTAAGGTTACTTCCGTACAATTCTTCAAACATCACAGTGTACTTAATGAAAATGTGAAGCACATATCAAACATAAACATGAGCCCACTGTAACTACAACTGCTTTTTCTTTTTTTTTTGGACTTAGGCAATTCCAACTGAAGCTGACACTCAGCTGCTACGACTTGCTATGAGAAACATTTAGGAGAATTAAAAAGGTGCAGGCGCTCCCATCTCAAAATACAAGCACCTAGAAAAACTTAATCAGCACAGATAAAGGAGTGACACGGTAACACAATGCCGCGTGACCAAAGAAAAGTGCGAGACAGCAAACTAATGCAGACACATGGTGGAAATTGGAACAGTCGTTCTACACTGAGAATGTTCATTGTTATAACGTAAAGCTAACTCGACCTAATTGACAAGCATTTATGCGAAATGGTCTTTCTTATTAAGTTAAACATCAAATGGTGGGGAAATGCTATTGTCTGTGCAAGAAAAAAAAGAAAACAGTGAACATAAATCATTGATCAAGTTTCAATAAATATTGATTAAACAATTTTTAAGTCTGCCCTAAGCAACACGTGCCTGAGTCTTCCAACACTCTATGCAAGATGCATGGACATTTAGAGATTTTATTCTTAATTGCATGACAAGAAAAATAAGCATGCAAGTGGAAACCAAAAGTGGATGATATGACTACACATTGCAACATCCACACTTTTCCCGAGCAAGACTTTAAAAAGCGCCTCTTTGCCAAAAGTTTATTCTCTTGACACTAGAGGCGAGGGGGGGCTTTTATATCCCGTGCGCTGTTTCCTCATAAAAGTCATAAAAATTCATCATTGAGCGACCTCGCAAAGAAAGAAAGGAAGTAGTCCCACTAAGGCCAGTTTTCTACCTGCATTAAACATTTAAGGGGCTCTTGTGCTGCTTGCATTTAGACCCGCTTCATTCGCTAACACAAACTTTCCATTCTGCTGATACAACCAAGGTTCACCTGACATGTGTGACGAAATTATCACAAGGCAAACGTCCAAGCAAGGTAAACAAGGTCAGATGTGTCACTGTAAACATGCCACTTTCGGTTTCCTCAATAGACACAACTCTCGAGCACAAGATTACTTCCACAGACTGCCGCAGGCCAGATTGTTTAACTTGAGCATATTCTTCGAACAACCCTGTGTTTAATGGAAATGTGAAAAACATAACAGTACACACGAGCCTCCTCAAACTACACCTGCTTTTCAGATGTACACATTTTCAAATCAAGAACAAGAACATACAGCCTCCTTAACTGAACTTGTTGCTCTAAAACTGAGGCTGCAGTCCTGGCTATCAACAATAATACCTAATGCAACAATGAAAGAACTCAATGTGACAGTGGCTACTTTATGCGACTCGTGTCACTTCCACCAAGCTGAATTTTTTATTCCCAGTTTTAGTATTCTAAATAACTATTCTTGCTAGCTCACTATTATCTATCCACTCCCATTCAGAATTCCTCATTTTCAGGGGTGGTGCCAGAGGGCACATAGGGGCCACAGCTCCCCTAGAATTTTCTGCCTCCTTCCCCTCCACCCACCCTAACAGCAAGGATTGTTCAAACAATGTACAAGTACCCTCCCTTCCCCACTCCCAATGAACTTGCTTCAGAAAGGTGCCCTCCCAATAAAAAAAAAAAAAATCCTGGCGCCACCCCTCTAATTTTAAGCTGCTATATATCTATGCTATCTGAAATTCAGCTATTTGTACGATCCAAAAAATTTGTCACAGCTTGGCTTTTTGCATGCACTCACTCAATGGAAAACGTTTTGATGGCGGCCGGATCGAAGGTGGGGGCCTTCTTGCGCCTCAGGAAGAGCCAGTAGAAGGCAAAGCCCAGCAATGCCAGAAGGATGAGCACGTCCAACACGCCAAACAGGGGGGCCTCCTCATTCTGACTTCCCAGCGGGCTGCTGTCGACACTCAGCGGAACATCTTGGCTCGTCCCTTCCATGGCTGCACACACACAGAAAAAAGGTAATAATTCTATGACTTTACCTGTGCAAACTGCAACCCAATCATCAGGCATGCTGTGACAGTAAATTAATTTTGACCACCAAAAGTTATGAAAGAGAACCGACAACCATACGTTCACAGCACGAAGCCACAAGAGAATCCATAAGAATTTATTGGAAAAAAAAGTGTAGCTGAAAAATTCGTTCTAGCCTGAAGATCGTCCTGGTCCAAAGATTGACCAGCTTCGGGAACCAGGATGATTTGTTGTGGTATCGTGCGACACATGGGTGGTCGGCAGTTGTTTCTTTCATAACCCTTCCGCCACCCTGCGGGATTACACAGAACTCACTTCTAGCCACTACCCAGGGTTCAAGAAACACCTAAATAGAAGTTGACAGGTGTTCCTGTATTTAGCAACCATTCACATGGATATGCCATGGACTAGAACCGAAATTGTGACTTCACATTCAACAGTGTAGAGCCATAGCCACCGAGCTCGCACAGCAGGTAGCAAAAGAGCATAAAATATGACACAACTACCGCTGTGTACATAGCAATGTGCTCCTATGGAACTTGCAACGGTTATGAGGGTTACACTGCTCACAATGAAAAGCCTAGTTTTATCAAAAATAATAATATGTACCGAAAATGACTGTTTATATAAACCTGTTTCTTTTTCTTTTTAAAGAAGAATGGCTTACAAAGACTACAAATGCATAACAAGATTGTCTCTGGTATACAAGGATTATTAATGAATATAACAATATGGTTTAATATGAACCTGAATGTAAGCCCAAAAGCACTTCTGTATTTTGCCTGCATAAAAAATAAGATGCATCGGTCAAGATGAAACTTTCAACTTTGAGCCCAATATCGCAATGCCATGCAACCTAAGCTACCACGGTAAGTTTAGATTTAAAAAAAAAACATAAACACCAGCAAAAAATGTACAAGAAACATGGTTAACAGACGGATAATGCTGCCTTTTGTGCGAAAAAGGCACGTTCCCGCAAACATGCTTCATGCTTTCACACCGTTTATCCCTAAGCTAACTACAACGCTCCTTTCACCAGACACGGCATTCAAAACTACTAGCATAACCAGATCACACACTAACAAAGAAATTGGTGCAATTATACACAACACAGCCTTTCTCTGCAACTTATCCCCTAAAGAGAAAAACAACTTGCTTTTTTGAGTGAGAACGAGCATGAAAACATGATCAAGTGTTCCCAAGCACGCTTTAGGGCCTCAATTATGACCGAGACCTTGACTGCTGCCGAGAGTTTACCCAGACTGGCTGTAACAACTTGCAACATGGCTTCCAAGTTTCATCACAATGCAAACAAGGCATGACGTCCGCAAAAAGCCGCATTCGAACAATACAAGGAAACCTGCCAGAATCGAGGAAAAGCAGGCACGAGTGGAGGCACTTTGGGCCAGTACATCTTGAAGACCTCCGATATAACTTCTTGCAGAAGGTCTCAAATGGAGCAACGTAATATATTTTTCAGAGTGGAAAGAAACACACACACACAAAAAAAACTGAGAATTGTTTAACAGAAGAACAAGAAAAAAAGATTCCAGACCCTGTCAAAGCTTTCCTCGAGACTTGCAAACAGGTCAGCAAAAGGAAGTGAAATGCACAGAACAAGGATCGACTAAGAATATGCACTGTGCTGTACCACAGTTTCCTTCTGGATGTAAACAACTCTAAGCATTTGAAGCTCAAGCAATCCAGGCCTGTCACTTTATTTGCCAAGTGGTATGACTCCGCACTGCTACACTGTACAAAATTTGCGCTGTGCTGGTGTGCATGATATCAAAGCACTGCACTTGTTGATGGTTGAGAATTAACCGAGTGATGCCCTGAATCAAACAGAGGGCCGACCATAACAAATAATTTGAGTAGCAAGGCGGCACTAGCAGCAAGATGCTAGGAATGAGAGCGGGAACTACGCAACTAACACTTAGGCCTTCAAGATTACTTGGTCATTTTTAATGTTGCAAGTATGTGCAGTCCAGCAGGCTTAATTTGAAATTTCTTCAGAAAAGCTGCGGACTGGAAGCACGTAGTGGAAGCACACAGTGGTGGACGTGAACAAATAAGAAGGCTACTAGGTCTAGGTCTCGCATGACAAATTGCAGGGCATCAGACGAGATCACAAAAACAGGGCACAGCATGCACTGCTTCTGTGCTCCTCTGTTTCATCCAATGCACTACGAGTTGCACATTACAGAAATTGGGGGATAACTAGCCATATCTCTTTGAGGCACTGTAGGCTCTCCAATTACATTCAACAAAAAAAATTATAAAGCAGATTTTTGTCTGAAACCAACTAAGCTTTTAAAAGAAGTCGTTACAAAGACAGCACCTAAACATCGACCCTACAGCTGCTTAAGCTGTAAAGGGAAAGCTACCAATACCAACACCATTGATGGAGGGCATGGTTTCTTTAGCCACTGATTGTTCACATCTGATTATAAAAATTGCTCTTGTAACAGCACCTGCACTGACTAAGACCTGCACGAAATGTACTTCCAGTGATTTTGTACACGGCGCACTCCTATTAAGATGGCGCACTCCTTTTAAAACATATCTGTCAAGACTAACTTATGAGATGGGCTGAGTACTTCATGCACTTAATTTTAGTTTTTCCAATCCAATCAGCGCACTACTGCTATTCTAAGCGACAAACAAAAAAAGGCGTCCAAAATCCCCTTGCACTTGTCTTGAGGAGCCCAGGAGAGCCCATGCGAATCACACTTTACCAAAGGGTTTCCTTTTTCTCCTGCAACATGCGACTGAAGCAATCAAAAAGTCCTGATGCCGCTGGCACACTCAAAAATAAAAGCAGAAGGCATTGAAAATCCTGAACAAAAAAAATTCGCCTACATGAGCTTTAACTGGCAAGAAATAAGTGTTCTCCAACTACGCTGGTCCACGAAGCCTGACATTAAAAAAGAGTGCATATTTAAGTGCAGCACAGACTTGGTCAAATTATCAGTGACACGTTACTGAATCTTCTCTAGACCCCAATTTAAGAAATAAATGAGTGGTTGGATATTTCTATTCTAAGAGTCAATGAACAAACGAATAAAAGTTCTAGTATGATGCAATCAGCTCATATGCCAATGTCATTCAGGGGTGCAGCAGTGGCTCTCGCTTCCACTGGAACTGATTGTGCTGTTACATTGTGACAGAAATGTGTACAGTTTGTCTACCACTGATGAAAACAACAACGAGCCAAATGACATAAAACTTGCATGATAGCTTGCCGGCCAACCTTGACCAATTTTTCACCCAAGTAACCAAATGTGCTAAGTAACCTTAGCAGCCCACCTAAAGCACCATAACATGCTATGCAACACAAAGCAGCTAAGGTTTGAATAAACCAACGGCCTACAAAATGAAAGTATTTAATCAAGCATGAAATTATTTTTAAAAGCAGCATCCAATGGCACAAAACAGTAAAAGAGCCTACACAACACAGACTGCACTACTGAACACAGCTCTTGCATGCACTATAGAAAACTGGGCCTTGTATCTACACAACGGTAAGCCACAGCCTTGCAGCTTCGAAGACTACTTGTGTGTCAGTTATCTGGGCTAGGTTTTTCCTTATCAGCACGTCAAGACCAATGTCCACGATCTGGGTAACACATGCAATGATAAACACGTGATAAGCGAAACAATAATGCATTGGGAGCAGAGTGTGGAGGACATGTTATCCAGGTACATTAGGCCTCAAACAGCAGAGAGTTGCATAGAATACCGTGCACAACACACGCTGGTTAAGTGGAACAGAAGGAATCCATGAGTTTTAGTCCTTCAACCACCATAAAAACGGTGGGTGGCTTGTGAATTTGCATGAGACTTGGCACGGCTTTGTACAGCTCACTGTTCGAGCTTCACTTCCCTTTTTGTTCAGAGTAGTTCAAATGATGTTGCCTGCCAGTCATGCCGCACTTATTTAGAGCAAGAAAATGCACCTTCACCGTGACTGCTTTATTCTATGCAATTTCAACTGTACAAGTAAGTCTCTGCACTTTTGGGTACGTATATCATTCACTTTGTACAAGTGTACTGCAGCGACACCACCCAATGGCCTTATATATGTTTAGAAATTTTTTGTAGCAGTCAGCAAACAATTCCATCATTAAAATTAATACCATAAAAGTAAGTCTCAGCACTTTTGGGTACTTATATCATTAACTTTGTAGTACTGCAGCAACACCACCCAATGGGCTACTGCTTATATACGTTTGGAAACTATTTGTAGCAGTCAGCAAACAATTGCACCATCGAAATTAATACCATGAGTGAGCTTAACCCGAGCCAAATGACAAATATGAGATGATGGCATTAGATAAAAGCAAGTAATAAGAGTCTATGAAACCTAAGAGATAAACTTCAACAAAGTCATGTACTACCCTTTAACGAAATGCTAGATTAACTCTTCGCACTCCATTGTCGGGCAGCGCCTGACAAGACAACACAGCGGTAGCGGTCCGCTGTCGGGCTGCGCCCTACAAGGTGTTCGTGGTTTAAATTTCGAAGTTTACTCACTGCAGGTCATGCGCAGTTTTTAAATACACAAAGCACCATTTCTTGAGGAATAACTGAGCTATGTTTTTTTGAGGTTAACTTTTTTTTTAACTCTAGGGTACAGCTCAATGTTCATCATGCAGCCTAGAGCGTACCCACTCGCGAGTGGTCCGCTGAGAAGCATGGCCATGTTTTGACCGCGTGCGTTTGACGCTAGTGCTAGCAGCAAGAACGAGGATGACATTAGTAAGGAAGAGAATTATGTGCCTCCACCAGACAAGGATGACCATTATTCGACAGAAGTGAGTGACGAAGACTACGATGATGACATGGAGACACATCTGTTTTTCTGCAATACCTGCAGTATGAACCCTGGCCTGCATCCAGGAGGATGCTTTGAGTGGTATCACACGCTGCCTAAATATCAATAAAGGAGTTGCCTGCAGACTTCAGAAGTAAAAATAAATATCCTGCAAGTTTTTCTTCCTCACTTTGTGTTTTTCTTCGCGGCGCCAGAAACTGTCAAAATAGCTTCGGACCAGTACAGGCGGAAAGTGGGTAAAAGTTTCGGACCGCAAAGGATTAAGCAGGTCAATAAAGCCCTCTTCTGGGCTAGTTGAAACAAGGTTGATCTATAGTTGATAGTTTACAGCCACCTGCTCTGTATTTTTTTTTTGTGCCTCCATTAGTGTTTTCCTGTTAATTAAGCACTGTACTGGTGACACCCATACACGCTTGTACCAAACTGCTCTCGAATCAAATACAGTAACTTAATGCAGAGTACAAAATACCTTAACGATTCCTATCGAGTGCCAGAAAAGTTAAGACATACAAAAGAGGAGTCACATCACAGAAAATATTTGCTCATTATCTACACAGGCAGGCAAGTGGTTGTGGTATGGGCCACCCCGTTTATAATTAAGCAGTACAGAGCCGAGCGTAGTAAAACACATTAGGCTATGAAAACTTGGCAGTGCAATTAGCGAGTAGCTATGTCTACATATGCCATTCATTCACACCATAGATGTTGGCAAGCTTGCCATGAATGTTCTCCGATGATTTTCATGCTTATTTCAAATAAATTTAGACCGCTGTTTCGAAGAGTGAAATCATTGTAGTCGTCTGCTTGTTGCACTCATCGGTCGGTCCCATGGTTTCAGTTTCACCGCAGAATTTCATTATTTCGTAGTTATTACTACGAAGGTTACTAAAGGGCACTGTGTACCGGAAATCTCAAAGTAATAGTTGAGCATATCAGATAAATAGCACACGAAACAAAATCTGTGTAAGGTGAATGTCACAAAGATTGCAGCATAAGGACAGGCCATACAGGAAGTCAGTTAATTAAAGAAGTTTCCCTTAACAAAGAGAACTACACCGCGTTCTGCAGGCAGTTCTATTAACTACACAAGAGCAACGGACCTCTTTGTTCTTTCTTTAATCCTCTTGCACTTTCAAAGCATGTGGCGGAAATGAGAACAGCGCAGCGCAGACACACCTGGGCCACATCCGTTAGAAATGACTTTTCTGGTTCGAGCCGACAGTCTGCTCTTGCTCATTTTCTTGCAATTTTCCACAATGTTCTAGAAACACAGCTAACAAATAAAAATCTACTCAGGCAGATATAATACCTAGTGCTCGCAAAACTTTTATTCAGGAACTTTTGTTACTGTTTTACCTGAACACTATGTATTTGAGCAGAATATCCCAGCGATCACTGTTAAGGCAAAGCACATTAAAGCGAATAGAGTTTCATATTTTACATCCAATTACATTCAAAATTAAAAGCAATACCCAGAAACGCAGTCTTCTCGGCAAGAGTACTCAACGACCTCACAAAGCAGACACAGGACAAGCCACAGGTATAAAACATGAATGCAGTGAGGCAGATGATCAGGGAAACTGTATGTGTCACAAAAAAGGCTAAAGAAAGCAACCAATGAACCCGTCAAAAAGCAGCAAGGAGACACACACGACACGTACCTGTCACAGGGGCTATGCAACTGTGAATGGGTGAACGTCCAACCACCATGTAATTGTGCAGCTGATGACGCAGGCGAATAGGCAAGTTCCCTTAGCGTGGCATTAACGGAACTGTTAACGTGGCACTGAAGGGACGCCATGTCCAGCCCCACAAGCAGCACAAAATCCAGCGAAACGGCCCCGCTTCCGCTTGTCAAAACGTCCGACACAAAACTGAAGGAACGTCTCGGAACACGAGGACCTAAAAGCTGTACTTTCCCAATAACAGCCAGACACCTCCTGGTTTTTTCCAAAGACTGTGACAACTTAAGGCACTTCACCAGACCTTATGGCACCACAACACTGCATGATTAATGATGTGCCGCGGGCACTGCGGTTGCGAGGAAGAGTCTGAGACAAGGCTGCAGGAGAGGCACCAAGGCATCTCCAACCTGTCACTCGGATTCAACCTTCGCATCGCAGGCCAAAATGAGACAAGGCGCGATTGTGGCAAAACCAAACAAGAAATGTGACCATGTGTACATGCGACAATGCGTGCTCTCCGTTTTCCTCGTGTCGAAATGCAAGAGAAACAATGATATGGGGGGAGACGCAAATTTCTTCTCCCACTTTACATAAGATGTAGCTGCTAACGAAGAGCTTTTATGGCAAGATTAAAAAAAAACATATGAGGCAGCATACTTTACAAGCTTGAAAAAAAAAAAACGCTCGCATACACAGCCATAAAGAAGGAAATGACAGGGTACAACGTCCTGCCTTACCAGACGTCTTTGCAAATCGTAGGTAGGCACCCCACTACCCTCAATCCTGCGGCGGCCGGCACTGACGTAGGCGAGATAAAAAGCAAGCAGGAAACAAAGGAAACTATCAGACACGGCACGACCTTTTCGCGGTATAAAAAAAAAAGCACACACACACACACGCGCGAACAAGAGTGTGCGCACACCGGCTGGTGTTTGCGGACCTCACTGATTGCCTTGAGATACCCAAGTGCCCAGCCGCACTACCTTGCGAAACATCCAGGGGCAAATTACCTTTTGTTCTTGCTTTCGCGTGTGACGTCAGGGTCGCACGTGCACAGAGTTGAGGAAAGAAGGACCGAAACCTACGCGAGACGTGCGTGCATAAGCCGGCGTCATGGCAACGTCGTAGTGGTACGAGCTCGTCACTCTCCTCCTCGCCCGATAGTTACGAAGTCCGGTGATAGTTTTACGCGAAGCCAGCTCGACTCCTCACTTCCTACGCACACGCCAAAACGATACAGATTCGTTCGCTTTGCTGCGCGAACGGTGCGATTAACTGCGGCACGGTTAATCGGGCTCTAAATGAGCGACGAACGGATTAACCGGGATATCGGAATAACCGCACTCCGGCTGTTGACACCACTCGAAGAAACAATAAGGAACGACGGGAATTCGAACAGAAAGAAATAAAAATCGCTGTTGTACGAATGAGTAATGCGTCTACAAGGAAAAGAAAAAAAAAAAAGGTTGCCCGTCAACGGATCGAGGTACGCAGTCATTTTTGCACTTCTTTTTATTCGTTTAATGACCTCGCACTGCGCCGCTGACGGACAAGTTCTGAGCGCTTGAGCCTGCTTGAGCTATCAGAGCTTTCTTTGTCATTTTTTTTCCCCTATAAAGGCGCCGACATGCGACGGACTTTGGTTGCCGATAGCCCGAACCGAACGCACAAGGCCGCGGAGAACGTATTTCCTTCGTTTTGACGCAAACCCGAAGCCACGGATTAACGAGGCACAGGTTACAGCCGGCACATCGCAATGTCGCAGTTTTCGGGCAGCTCGTGCGACAGTTATTTTCGCTTTCGCACGACTTTACGGTGTGCGTACGCATGCACGCACGCAATCCGTAGTGGTGCTAGCACGTCACGCTTACCTGTGGCGAAAAAAAATTTGAGATGGGAGAGGAGGCGCCAGCAAAAGAGCAATAATGAAAGCGGGCCAAAAGATTGCAAGTGTTGGACGACGTGCCATTTCCGTCGACGGCGTCAAAGCGACGTTCTCGTAAAAAAGAACTGCTGCGAGTCTGGTCTGGCGGTGATGCACGAGCGAAAGCGCTCGAAAAAAAATCGAGGACAAACAGCGAAAAAAAACGCACGGCCTTTCCCTAGAGGTAAAAAACGGTGGAATTGCAACATATTGACCTTGAAATATATTCCACGCACCCTCAATTCGCGATCATAATGGGGGCTCGCCGAGATTCCTTCAGATACGACGGGAAACGACCTGCGAGCAGCGTTCCCCGCGTAAAGGCGAGCCAGAATAATAATTCCGAGCAGTCTCGAACGACACCGTCGAATACCGAAGTCCCCCTCCACAACCACTAGAGCATCCCCCCTCACCCTCCAAGCACCACCGAGGCAAAAATATGCGGGTTAGGCCTACGAAACCGCGAATAAATGAGCGATCTCGGCCCGTGGGGACTCACTGGCACTCACCTTACGTGCTGGCACAGTTGATTAGTCCTGTAGAAAGCCCAGCGTTTAACTTTCATTAATGAGGCCCTTTCCGCACCGCCACGGCTCCGTCAGCTGTACGGCTGCAACATCACGGATATGATGAAGTAAACGAAAAAAATCTGCGGAGTCGACGCGAGCGCCACCATGTGCTTCTGCCTCCTCTGCGACTCATTGTTTGCAAACTTTTTTCCTTGCTTTATACCCCGAAGTTCTCAAGAAAGTGCGAACAATTGCAATAAGAAGAACAGAGTAATGCTGGGAAAACATTATTTGTGAAACAATGGTGAATCTTGTGAAAAAAGATGGCGCTAGCTGTTACACTAATTCGAGCGCAACAGGTAGGATTTGTAGTTTGCGAGAAACGCAAAATGTTTGTTTGAACAAACTGCCTTAAAACATTTTCTAGCTCTTTGAGAATCAAAATTGAAACTTGCGTTCTCCTCATACGCATACAGACTTATTTTCTGCCAAGCTTTTTTTTTTTTTTATGGCGCCGCTGAGGTTGCACTCCGTTTTGATGCCATGCATGAATGAAATCGAAATGGGCGCAATAAACTGTATCGACAACATTGCTGCATTAAAGCGGGTAAGAATGTTAGCATGTCTGGAAGTAAGTGCCCATTCTGCTTAACTTCACGCAGCATCAAGTTGTGCGTGGCCTCTAAGAGCTCAATTTACTGCTGTTGCAACAGTTGTGCGTCTCGAAGGCCACGCTTTTTCAGAATACTGCGTGCTCATAAAAAGTGCAACGACGTACTCTCTTCTGAACTTCTTTTGTAAACGCAGACAATCTTTGTAAGCGTACCGCCCTACCCCCCCCCCCCCCCCCCCGCCGCAGTGACGTATATTTGCACGATTTATAAAACAAATTTTGCTTAAGGATTCTTCTTTTGCGTTGTTTTTTGTTTCTGGTCACGTGCCGATGTGTCTGCTCCGGCGGCCACCTGCGGATCCTTCGTCCGTCGTCACGGAGGAAGAAAAGTGTCCGCCGTGTTCACCCTTGCAGAGCTCAGACTGCAAGCGTGTATCACACAGATTTCAGTGTTGTTTTACTCAGAACATATCTGTCTTCCCTTCGGCTAGTGTTTGTGAGGAATGGTTAGTTTCAGAGAGGGCAAAAGGCTGCACTTTGGACTTCCGGGAGCGCCTTTCTCAGATGTGCGAGCGCGATTGCCACCGCTGTGAAAGCGCGCCAGCATAAGATAACACAGCGTCGCAGAAAGATTTCACATCGCGGCCTCCACCTCCTCGCCTTCATGCGGCGAGTGCATTCATTTCTCCAATCAGTTCGCTTAATCGCGTGAACTAGGATGCGATATGATCTCTTCAGAGACTCGACAGCCTCTGGAAGCGTATACATATGCATACGCGCTAGTCCTCGCTTCTCTGGCTGTTGTCATGACGACAGACAGTTTTATCCCCGTCTCGAATATAAAAACCTGTTACCCGAGCTCTTCTTCTTTCCTGCAACTGATTTCTTATCACAGAAAAAAAAAAAAGAAAACAAGCTAGCTAGTTAGACCTGTGCGCGCGTTGGCTTCGTATATGCACAGGGAGCTGTGAAATACGCTTGCTTGAAGTGGGGGAATACAAACTGATTCATTTAGACGGCATTTCATATAAGACCTTTTTACAGACGGCTCCCTGGGTGCCGCCATAATCCTTTCTGGGCTGCGTTAAATAGATATGTGATCTTCCAAAAATGCACTGCCGAGGTGGCGGTCACCTTTTGTACTCCCGTGCGCAAACCAGCATGGTGGCGTTTTTTTTTATATCCCAATTCTTTACAGGACAACATTCCATCAACATTGCAAATTTACTGGCAGCAAAATGGTCGACATAGCGCGCGCCGTCAATATAGCTACACATCTTTGTTAGTTCATGCCGGATCGCTTAATGACTGCATTGCGATATCGCGCTTTCTCATGCACAGTCGCATTCAATATAAGTAGCGACATGGTGACCGTGGTCAAAAGGGACCCAAACTGTGGCGAACGTTAAATCGGTTCAGAGAATACCAGTAACTGAAACATGTAAAACCTCAGTATTTTTTTACTATGTCAGCGTCGCTTTGCAGTGTCGGCGCTTCGTGCATTTGAGCACGTGTATACATACTGCAACTTATATTTGGCGTGGTTCGATTCACCTTCATACGGCATATGAGCGCGTACGTTGACCGTTAATCAAACCGGCGCCACGTGCCAAAAAGCGAAGGCTGAATGAGAAGACGATGCCCGATTGTACACTATCGCGTTGTCGATCTCGCAGGTGATGTTCGAATGCCGAGCAAGGTTTTCTTCGATTTGGTATTTTCGAATCATTTCAAGATTGTATCACAAACCGAGATAACTATGACTACATGGGTCCCGCACACAGGCATGCTTCATCGTTTTTTTTTTTTTACTGTTGAAACCGAACTTCATAAAGGAAAACAAAAAAAAAAGGACAAAGAGCACGCTAATCTTGACTGATTGATTTGTGGGGTTCAACGTCCCAAAACTACGATATGATTGTGAGAGACAACGCGTAGTGGAGGGCTCCGAAAATTTCGACCACCTGGGGTTCTTTAACGTGCACCCAAATCTGAGCACATGGGCCTACAACATTATCCGCCTCCGTCGGAAATGCAGCCGGGATTCGTTCCCGCGACCTGCGGGGCACGCTAATCTTGTAAGTATGATTGCGCTAAGGTAAGACACGTGCCTTCGTGCGCATCAATGGGGAAATTAAGAGGAAGGTATTAATTTCCGCCGGATTTTCCAAGGACACCACAATTTTGGTTCTCTTCAATAAATCATATAACGTATCTTCGCACTCGGGCACTGACGTAGCGGGGAAGAGGGAAACTCAAGCACACCTTCTCCCACACAATAAAAACACATAGTTTAATTGAACACCCCCCCTCCCCCCACAAGATGAATCTAAACGACTAGTTCCCATTTGACGATTCCACCACAGCTCAATGCTCAAACGAAATGGCTGAATCTCCGCCTGCCTCAGTATAGTCGTAAACTGACTATAGAGTTCCTGAATCTTCAAACCGGAAGTCCTTCAAGCTGGGGAATTCCCGTTTGACTAAGCAAGCTAAAAACGGTTTTTTCTTTCTTTATTGTTCTGAGTTCAAGCGGTCTTCTAGACCTATCCTCTGTTTGTGAATATGATTAGGCACCATCGACTTACTGAGGCATGTATAGCGGCATCGCAGCGCGTGTGCTCCGCCCAGCCCAAAGCTCGCCGCCGCCCACTGCTTTTCGACGCGCTGGGCTCGGAGGCAGCATTGCGGCTGCTGCGTCAGTTGTGACGTGGTCAGAGAGGGTGTGTGGCACATAACAAGCTTTCGGCAAGCGGAGAAGCGATGGCTACCACTGTTTACAAACATGCAATAGGTAAATAGGCCACTTTCTTATCGAAATCCTGATATGTGCGCCGTACAGGTTTATCAGTGCTCGCATTCTTACTCTTGGCGAGAAAAAATGAAGAAAAGAACGCGTGCACAAGGAAACGAGGACATAGTTGCTGCATGCACGGAAGCAGCAGGCGCGGTATGGCGTCATCACCGCCTTGTCCCCGTTCCCAATCACACTGCGCTGTTTTCTCGTTTGTACGTGTTATCACCGCACCCGGTTGCATCACAGCACACGGAAGTAGGCAAGCTGCCTCGGCGACCACGTGTAACTGACAGTTGCACGAGTTGGTATTGCATATATAGGATTCGTCATTCACTGCGCAGCACTCTGGACAAAGACGCGATTTCCGCTCGTGTATTTCGGTCTTGCGTCCTTGTCGTGTGAATGATCAACACGTGTATCTTGTAATGAAACTTTATGCAACGTGCAACACGTACGCAAATAGGTATGAAGCTCAGGGTACCTATAAGCTTTATATATATATATATATATATATATATATATATATATATATATATATATATATATATATATATATATATATATATATATATATATATATATATATATATATATATATATGCTTGATTACGGAAAAAAAAAAGAGGGGGCATCACCACTTACTTTTTTATGTCCTTCCACTGTGATCTGATTGCACGGGTAGGAACTCAGGAAGTCGTCAAGGGAGATGAGAAGGGGGGGGGGGGGGGCAGAAAAAATAGTTTTCCGGTAACTTAATTAGCACCCTAGCTCCACCAACCCCCCGAATGAAGAAGTACGCGTACGCATATTACCTATTGTTTCACAAAATATGTTAAGTCACGCTCACTTCTTTTGCTCCTTTGTCTCACCGGTTCCCCTTTTTCTTCATGTTATAATTGCATGAATTGAGCGGGGAAAATGGAAGGACTTTACGTGCCAATGTCGCGATATATTTTTATAAAACATGCCGATGTTTGTTTTTCGGGCAAACATAAAGACGCAAGTGAGATAGTGACACGGTTATCGTTAGCCCGAAAAGAAAAAAAAATTGCCCCGTATCTGTATGTTTCACTGCAAATGTCGTCTAAAGACATTTGCAGTGAAACATACAGATAGTCTTGCGTCTGGAAAGATTGAACAAAACGTTTATTTGATGTGCGCGAGAAAACCGGTGAATTGTTTTCTGGAGGCACTGCATTAGAGTGTCTCAATTCCGCGCAGCGAAGGCGAACGAGCATCGAGGCACGTTAGACACAAGCGCAATCTGGCAGTTATCTTCGAAAACGAAGGAAGGCGTGCGCGCCTGTCTCGGAGGCGATAAGGTGTAGAAAGCAAAGTGACAGACAGGTGCCACCACCCTGTTGTCTTAGCTAAAAAAAAATATATACCCTCATCTGCTCTCTCCCTCGCCGCCTCCTCTCCAGTGCGTTGGTTTTTTTTTTGTTGTTGTTGTTCGCTTGCCACAGTGGCGCCCCCTGTAACGCGCCTTGAGCTTGCTCCGGCGGGGAGAGGAGGAAGCGGTGCAGATCAAAAGAACGCTGCACTTAGTTCATTTTATATTACTCTATGGGTGTAGTAGTCTTAGCAAAGCGTTGGAAACGCCTCTTTGAGCATAGCGCTGCATTGTCAGCGCAGCGTGATAAACGCTACGGTCCTTAGAATTACTTATTCCTTCCCCACTATGAAGACACACATACAGATTATTGACGTGTTCTTATGGTGCCTTAGGTATGCACAATAATTGCTTTTAAA